TCATCACGACGAACATTTGATGCCATGGAAACAGCCAAACCTCAAACCTCAAATGCTAAGAATGGCTCAACAACATGCTAACGTCCTATAAAAATCCATAGCCCTGCATACCCTCAGCAGATCACTCAACAATGTCCAGTGATTCCAGTACTCGCCACATAAACAAAGAGCCGTACTAGGGGGGCAGTGCGGTCTGGCTCGGGAGGCAGTGTGGGGCCATATACAACCCTAACCCCGGCCATTTTGCCTCTTTTCGGCCACACCACCCCCACTGTTCCGCATGTTACGCCCACCACTTACATGACCACTTACACGCCAAACTACAATGCCCTGACTGCAATACTGTACCTGCACGTTGATTCAACTGTAAGTAATGGCCTAATTATACCTTATAGATTTCGATTGAACTGAAAGACCCTGACTTGCAATGACCTAACTGTAATGACCTGACTGTATAACCTGACTGTATCGACCTGACTGCGACGAATTGACCGCGACGAATTGATTCCAACGAATTGACTACAATGAATTTGACTACAACGAAGTGACTATGACGAATCTGACTGCGACGAGTTGACTACGACGAATTGTTGTTCTGATGAACTACTTGCAATTGAGTGAACGTTATTGACTTGTTGTATGGGTGTGGTTGTGCCTGGCAAGTGGTCTGGGTACGGGCGTGGGTGTATATACAGGGTTAGGGTTATATGTGACACTTCCTCTCTAGCCGGACCGGACTGCCCCCCTCGTACGACTCTAAACAAAGACGGTGTATCGGACCCGACTTCGGCGATGTGTCTCCGGGCCACTACTCATCCTGTCAATAGTCGAATCGTCAAGCACTAAAATCCGAGTGGAAGGAAGATGTGTGAGTCGATTTCGGTACGTCTCGGCCCTCTCGGGTCAATCGGCGCGTCCATCACCCGAAAGTATTATACTCATAGGGCCAATTCTCAACTTGAGCAACTTGCTTCACCCCGAAGCCATCATGATTCTCGGGCATTTCAGTCCTTATTCGAGGCCTTTGCAGAGCTCATCACGGACAACTCTCAAGCCCTTGACCATCTCGGAAGATGCGCGTTAAGGTGCGCCTGATCTTGACGAGATACTCGTTGGTCGCAACAAGGAGTTTGGCGAACCCATGCCCTCGCCCATGTTGGCTCAAAGCTGGAGACATGAACGCCGAGGTACCACGGGATCTAACAAGGCGCTGTAGGGCGAATGGATGAACTCTACGTCTCAGCCTCTCCATCACTCTAATCTAGACAGGGGCCGGGGCTCCCCTCCTGAGAGAAGCCGAGGATTTCTACCTACCTTACTCGGTTTGCCTGACGTCGGAAGCTTCCTCCTTAACCCTGATGGAGTACGGAAATGTCCGGGCGGCAACTTACATTGGACTAGCCTTTCTCCGGCTTCCCTTCTCGATATGTGCCAGGGACTGGGGTATTACCGTTGGCGATCATATCCTATGATGAACATTGCTGACTGCTGCAAGGACCGTGTTTTGCGCTATCAAGGTGACAAGGCCTATACGAAGGTACCAGGATTCTATGTGTATGCAGTCCCCTCTCATTCGAGGAGCGTCGAATGCACGAAGCTCCTTTAGGTAGCACGTGGTGATCGCTTTCGGACTGGGGCAAAGCCGCAAGTGTCAGAGGACCGGGATAGTGTTCGAAATCAAAGCTCAGGCTATCTCGTCAAGGTAAGGATTGGCGGCCATTTTCTACTTCCCTACATAGTCAGGGTTTGAATCCATGGCTGGGTGTTCACTAATAGCTTGTTATATTGGTCTTCGGATTATTGGCAGCATGAACGCAAGCCCTTCTAGTATTACTAGTACCTGTTCAACCTGGTACTATGTTGACGACTACGAACTAGAGGTTACCTTCCTGCTTCTCTGACTGACATTCACCTTATTAATGGTCATGCTTGACTGTTACGGCTGTACTAACCATGCAAGTCAAACCAATATTACCTCTTCCCTGAGAGTTCAGTGATCCCTTGCGCTCTCAGACGTCCATGCCAAGACTCAGGATCAGATCCTGTATGCTCCTTCATGCAGGAACTCACAGTTGGTAGCCAACCAGAACCAACGAGCCTAAATAAACCATTTTGTATACTGCTGACCGCCTACGGGGCAAAAACCAAACTGGGAGAAATCCAAGGTAACCTTGTTACCCAATTCATCCGGGCTGGGCGGGGTTCGGCAAAGACAGAGTGTCAGTGAGGGTTGAGGGGCCGGTAGCATTCACATAAGATGACTTCTAGGTCCAAGTCTTTCACTCTCGTGCCGGATAGTCGATACGAGAAGTTCAAAGTTCCTACGCCCTCGTTGTATCATTATACGGGGGAAGCATTGGCAAGATGAAGTCCTCTTACTACTCCCTTGCCGGCCTTTTTGCTATCCTGCGAATAGCAAACGCCGCCCCTCAGACGGCAGGGGTCATCAAACGTCAAGCATCGCAACTTCTCAGCTCGTACGACTTTGTCATTGCCGGGGCTGGGACCAGCGGCCTCACCGTTGCCGATCGACTGACTGAGGCCTTTCCCAACAGTTTGTCACCACCTTCATGCCTCAGTTTGACTTGGACAAGGGAAAATACTGACTAATGCTCCTTTATCTTATCCGGCAGAGACCGTGCTTGTCATAGAGTACGGGGATATTGGCTATGCCCCGGGTGTCTTTGACCCGCCACAGATCATATGGGGCGGGCCGGGGACCACCGGGACCGGCTGGAACCTGTTCTCAACTCCGAGTCCCGCATTGAACAACAACACGGCCCAGGTTGTGGCGGGGAGGGCCGTTGGGGGCAGCAGCGCCATCAATGGCATGGTTTTCGACCGGGGATCCCGCTTTGACTACGATGGCTGGGCTCAGCTCCAGGCCAAGTCGAGCTCTGCTGACAGGAAGGGGACCATTGACTGGAGCTGGGACGCATTGTACCCCTTTTTCAAAAAGAGCGTCACCTTCACGCCGCCCCCTGAAGCCGTCGTCCAGGAACTCAACTACACGTGGGAGGCTGATGCCTTCGACAACACGACGCCCATTCATGCCAGCTTCCCTGAATTCCAATGGGGAGACCATTTCGTGCCGCGCAAAGCTTGGCGGGAGATGGGCATCCGCATCGCTGACAAGTGCTATAGCGGCGACAAAGACGGTCTCTGCTGGATAGCTACCTCGGAGCACCCCGTTACGGCAAGGCGCTCGTACTCTGGCCTGGGGCATTATGCGGATGTGGTAGCCAACAGGCCAAACTATCACCTGCTCGTCAAGCACCGTATGTATAGCTAGCTTCCAAGGCTGGTTCCTTTTTGGAATGCTGACACTGCTAAACAGAGGTCACCCGGGTGCTGTATCCGTCTGGCAAGTCCAAATCTGGACCGCCAGTGGTGGAAGTACGGCCAGTCAATGGAACCGACGTATTCACCGTCAAGGTGAACAACGAAGTGGTACTATCGGCGGGCGTCTTCAATACGCCAGCAATACTTCAAAGGAGTGGCATTGGACCGGCGCATTTCTTGAAAGAGGCCAATATCCCTCTGGTTCACGACCTGCCTGGTGTCGGCTCAAACCTACACGATCACTCCGGTCCGAGGATGACATGGAAATGTAAGGATCAGTCCCTGAGCCACCCCCTTTCAAGACAGATCAATTAATCCGGCAGATACCAAACCGCTGCCCTTCTCGCCGCTGCCGGAAGACATGCTCAACGCAACCTTCGCCGCTTGGGCTACAGCTGCCTTTGACGAAATCCCCGCCAAGGGCCCATATACGCTCGCCATGTCCAATAGCATCATCTACGTTCCTCTACCCAACATCACGGCCAACTACTCACCAATCCTGGACCTGATCCGGGAGCAAGCCAACTCTACAGATGCCTCTGCCCTCCACCTGCCAGCCGCTTACAACGGAGACCCGGCCCTGGAAGCAGGCTACCGCGCGCAGCTGCGCGTGCTGGCCGACATGCTGGCGCACCCACGCTCACCTAGCCTGGAGAGCGCATATTCCACAGGCACGCGGCTCTCGGCGCTGATGCTGCACCCGCTCAGCCGGGGCACGGTGCGGCTCAACCTGTCGGCCCCGCTGGAGCCGCCCATCCTCGACTACCGCTCGGCGTCCAACCCGGCCGACATGGCGCTGCACGTTGTCCACCTGCGGTATCTGTTACGCATGCTGCAGACGCCCACCTTCCAGGAGCTGGGAGCCGTGGCGGATACCCCGTCGGAGGAGCAGGCCGAGACTGATGACAAGCTGGTCGACTTTATAAAGAATACCGCGGTGCAGTCGTTTATGCATCCGTGCTGTACCGCGGCCATGATGCCGCTTGAGATAGGCGGTGTGGTGGGTACGGATTTGAAGGTTCATGGGCTTGGAGGGCTTAGGGTGGTGGATGCGAGTGTCTTTCCTATTGTGCCCGCGGCGCATTTGAGTGCTACCGCTTATGCGGTGGGTGAGAAGGTGAGTTGTCTGTCAAATCTGTGAGTATGGTCTGGAAGAGTGCTGACAAGGCTTGGGCGAATACAGGCTGCGAGCATCATCATCGGGGACTGGTCAAAGGGTCACTAATGTGCCAAATTAGAAGCAATGCATCGGGTCAAAAAATAATGAGAATGAGGTAAAATGAAAGACACTTCATGTCACGGCTTGATCATCCGCGAACTATGAGTCATCGCAATGATACGATAAAGGGAAGCTCTGAGATTATGAAGTGAAAGAAAAAGATCAGAAGATGAAAAGAATCCTGCTTCAAAAAATTGGGTCAACCCGTCAAACTCGAATCGTGGAACAATTGTAGGCTTCGGCCACCGTAGCGGCGCAGAGACTCCACTCATTCTAGGCTCAGATCTTCAACTAGAATCCTACAGCTCGCGTACACAAATCTCATTGATTCCATTGGAAACTACTGTGGTGCTCGACTTGTCCATGCAGAAAACACGGTACTCAGGGAGGTGATGCTTCGAAGGAGTCACAAGAAGTCTCGGGCTGGGTGCCTTGAGTGCAAGCGCCGCCATGTGAAAGCAAGTTTCCATGCCCCAATCGAGCCTTCCGCGCTTCCGCGCTTCCCCCTTCCCCCTGCCCTTCGCTCTTCCCTCAGGTTTCTGTCCAGGTATTTTCCTGGATCAAATCAATGATCATCCTTTCAAACAGATTCTATAGGATGAACCATGTCTCTCCGTCAGTTTATATTGGAATCACACACACTAATTACTTCACTTTGGCAAGAATAGTGCGATGAGCAGCGACCCAGGTGCATAATCTGCACCCTGTCAGAGAGAGAGTGCAGCTATCCACCAACATCAACCTCTAACGCGCAACTAGCAGTATCAGCTGTATCGGCATCAACATCTGCACCTGCAGCGGCAACACCGAACACTTGCCCCTCTGTGACAGCTCCAGCCGGCATGAGACATACCGGTGAACCTGCTTCTGTGGCCGGCGTCCCCCTCCCTGATTTATCGAGTCGACAGCAGAAGCCCCCGGACGACGGTCAAGCATCTCCAGAGGTCGACGTCAACATGGGACACATGGAGTTGATCATCCGATTCAACTTTGCCGAGCATGCTCCCGAATTGAATATCGAGTTGCACGAGTTCTCCTCCCAGCTCCTGTTCAAGTGTGCCATGGAAGCCCCCTACCTGATGCACCAGCTTCTTGCCGTCTCCGCCCGACGCCTGGCCTCCCAGATGCCACAGCGAGCATCCTACTTTCTGGATCACGCCATGCGCCTGCAAACGAAGGCTGTTTCAATCTACAATGGAACAGCTGCCAAAGCTCAGATCGACCAATCCAACTGCTCCGCCCTTCTTCTCTTTTGCTCCTTGCTTGGCCGTCACCTGCTCGCTGATTTGCTGGCGAACCGTGACGCCGATTTTGCTGCGTTTTTTGCGCGCTATCTTGAGTTCCTCACCGTTTCCCGCGGGCTCATGGCCATGTCCATGGCCGCTTGGGATCTGCTGCTCGAATCTGACATCAAGCATCTTGTGATCTGGGCGCTGAGCATTTCTCGATCCACCCCGCAAGGCAACCATTGTGATGAACTGCTGCGACTTGTGGCTGAGTCCGACAACCTGGACTCGCCTTCTAAGGAAGCATGTTCGAGGGCCATAGCCTACCTTCAAGTAGGCTTCGACAGCCTGCTGGGAACCGACGTTCGAAATCAAAGATACCTGATGGTCTTTATGTGGTGCGTGGTTATTACCCCGGGACCTTGCTTCCAGAGTCACTGACATGGTAGCCACAAGGCCGGCCGCGGTACCCCATGAATTCACCGAGTTGCTGTCCCAACGCCGACCGGAAGCTATTGCTATAATGGGCTACTGGGCACTTCTGCTCCATTACAGTAGAGCACTGTGGCACGTCGCCGACGCGGGATCGTACCTGCTAAGGAGCATTTCCCAGTATCTTGGGCAAGACTGGGAGCCTTGGCTCTCATGGCCCCTGAGCATGCTTGCTACCGATCCGGTCTGACGGCACCTAAGCTGTGTTGCAGCTAGACAAACAGTTTGAATTAAACCTTACAAAGACGGATGTGTCACAGCTGAGCGCAGTATCAGCACTCAAAGCCGGTGAAGGAAGAAATCAGACAGTGGGTGGAAATCAACTTGGGAGCATATCAGATTTGCTGCCGTCCCAAACCTCCAAAGACTGTATGTGCGCCTCACTCCCCGCTATCCACTGTCCCTTCCTCTCCTCCGGCAACGCCAACCAGAGTTGGCGCGACTCCATGTCTCAAGACGCCTTTCTTTTCCGCCCACGGTTGAACCAAGACTCTTGGTATCTTGTATACTCACTAGAAGGATGGTCAGTTACACTCCTCTTGTGTGTTGTCTGGGGCAGAGAGCTTTACTCACGGCACGGGACCCACATCCGATAGGGCTCCAGGGTCCATCCAATATACCCTCATGAACGAACCTGTCTACCCCCGTCCGGCTGCTGAGGGATGCCGCATGAAGGTCGCTGATGAGGATTGCATTGGCTTCTTCCCAACTCATCTTCCCTCTCTTATCCTTTCCCCTGTCGTTGGCTGTCTCCTTACCCTTGTCTTGGCGCCTGGACTGGCTACTGGCCTTGGCTAACCATGTCTCAGTACGAGAGAGTGGACAGGTCTGCGGTGAGTTGAACTCACAGTTTGTCATAGACTGTGAATGGGCCATTTCTGTCATGGCGTGTTGGGTGCGGCCGGAGATCCCGAGACAGTATTGTTTTCAGCGCGGAGTGTTATTGAAGCGGCGGAGCTGGCTGGAACGCGACTTTGGAGAGCTTGGAGACGAGATCGAGTTGACACAACGGCAGAGGCAAGCCTCTTTATAGACGAGTTGTCGACCGCTGTATCTTGTCTTAGTTCTCCTGCCAGGTGCTCCCATGCCAGATCAGATATCCCCACGGCTGGGTCAGCGGTCTCGAGTATCTACCGAAACAGGTACTCCGGCTAAGGATGCCAGGCCTCATCCGGCGATCCGACTTCAGACAGGGCCATGTGCCACGTTTCGATTGGTCTCATCCGATCCCTGAGCCATATCAATCAAAGAACAGGATTGCAGCGCAGCTGAGGTCCCGTGGGCGGCTTTCCTAGAGTCCAGAATCGGCAAGCCGGAAGATCAACACCTACATCACACCATCAGAAGCGGCTTGATTTCGTGGTTGTGCTACAAGAAACTCTACCGGAAAGAACAAAGCACCCTTATCCTTGGCCGCTGTCAGGACAATCGCATACCCGCTCACGCTTCCGCGGAGTATCAGGGATCACGCAGCTTATGGCTACCGAATAACTCTTGTTGAACTTACGAGCTCAAGGAAAACAATTATCTCGCTTTCGGACAAGTGGCAAATATGCGCCCTCACCGCCATCTTCTCATGGTTGTTCATTGGGACTTCGTCGCCTCTGCATTCGGAATTCTGGACACAGCAGCTCGAGGACTGCGCCCAAGGTGACACAACAATCTTCGAGTCGCCTTTCTAAAGCCCTTGATCTGTGACGGCAGGACTTGGGACTGCTCCTTACCTGTTTGGCTCGCCCCAGAATTCGAAAACGGGAAAAGGCCCGCGGCAAGGGCGGAGGCGCTCGAGACTTACACCGCATGCTGCCACTTGCAGCTAGCATGCTACGCTGATCGGACGCGGCTGGCCAGACGGGCTTCCGCGGTAGGGAAGCTTCACGTCAGAAGATAAAGATGACGATCATCCTCCGCAAGACTGTCTGCCCTTCCGAATGGCTAGCCGTCGAGAAGTCATGCCTCAGGCGGCTTGCTTTCCGGGCCTTATCCTAGCTCGGACACCGGCCAGATCGGCAGCTTCGCAGAATTCTGCCGAGACACTCCTCTGTGGCATATCAGATCCATACCCGAGATACCGAGAAGTTGAACCCCCTCGGAGCCGTAGCCCGCACTACCCGAGCCCAACATCCGATCCTTAGCTGCCCTGCCGGCGGGATCCGCTTTCGTTTCGCCCCCTTTTTGGCTTCCCCACGCCCAAAGGCGGCATTTCGATCCCAATACAAGCCTGGCGAAGTCACAACTCACCTTCACTGGCTGTTGGTCTGAGAGTAAACATCACGTTCCGCGCGACTAGATTTGGTGGTATATCCGCGGGCTTATTCCCAGCAGTCGGCGTCGAGTCCCACGTGCCACACGGGGTACCACGCACATCTCATCCATGCGATGTGACGCCCCGATGCCCAGGGGCTCGTCCGTTACCTCTCGTTTATCCACCTATTCTGCGGGCGTTGCCGGGACTCGAGCAGGTGCCTGATAGAGCATGGCGAGATCACACAATTTCTGGAGAAACAGAGGCCGGTATGCGCGCGGTATCATGATCTGTCGTCGAGCAACATTGGCAAAGCGTATTCCGGGAAAGGAGAGATATTGAACTGACACAAGGTGTTGAGAGCTCGAGGAAAGGGATCGGGCGACATTTGGAATTCTTCCTGGTCGGCTGGTCTGAGCTCGATTCTGGAGAATAGCAGGATGGTGCTAATCCTCGGGAATATCCCGCGTCTGTGCTACGGTCAGAAGCCACATGGCAGGCAGGACAGAGGCCCCCGGTGGCAGATCTTGGTCGCCGGCGGCAGTCGATTACCCCGGCCCAATGCCCCAACGCCCAACCGGTCTTACAGAGCAAGATAACTGGTCTGTTCCACCGCATGCGGTCATGACCACTTTCAGAACAACGGGTGCTTTTAGCTAAACCCGCGCTCTGTATCCCTGTCATCAAAAGTCCCATGGGCTTGGGCACAGCGTCGAACTGTTTTGAGTGGGTATGGATCCGACGGCGCGACTCGAGTCACCCCGAGGGTGTCAGAACACGAAAGTTGAACTCTTCCTATGACGGAATGGGCAGATATTGTTGTGTTACGGCAGATTACGAAAGATTTACAAACCAGCACCTCTTGTTACCTTGTCTTTGGAAATAAACAAAACGGCCGAGCCGGAGCATCTTCCAATTCAGACTGGCGTGCTGGATGGCATCGGCTCATGTCGAGAATAGTTGCATGTGTCGGGCATGACGACTGAATGGTGAGACTTTGTTACATCCTTTTTCCTGCGGAGTTGCAAAGCCATAGTCTGAAGTAGATTAAGCCACGCGGACGTGCGACTAGCAACAATTCAGATAGAGGCCGTCGTGATGGGCTGTGATGTCTCATGGCGTATTCAACTACTAGTACTAGAGGGTGTCAATCTATCGAACAACGTTGAGATTCGGATGAGCAGTACGGAGCCGTAGATAGTCTCTTCGGAAGATGCGTGAGAAGTTCAATGCTACAAACTCCTGAACCTGTCAAGGCGTAGGGGCAGTCAACCTCTCAGCTCCTGGTTGGACATTACCACTCAAGCTCCCCGAACAGAAGAGCCGAGGACTTGAGGCCGCTAGAATCCTGCCCTAGCTGAGCCATGCATCCGGGCCTCATTGGAGAATATCATACAACTCTCCAGAGAACCAGTGACCTTGTCCAAGTTCCACATCCAATCCCGCCTCCTCGCCACAAGGGAAAGGGCTTGAAAAATATGATATATCATGCACATGCAAGATTCAGCAGTCTGACCTCTCACTCATCAGGTAGCACCCAGATAACGCCGGAATCCCTGTTGGTACGCTGGCGGGAAGCGTACCCACGTAGGTAACTGGACATAATGTAAGGCGGATGTCGACCACTCGTCCGAGACGCCACATACTAAGGTAGTCACTGCAGTCAGTCAGTCAGTCAGTCAACTGCCGCCCCGCGGGCCCGGTCTCTGCAGTTTGCAGAGATCACACCATTTAGTTATGTTCCCGTAGGACCTATTAGGATACCATGTATGTATGTATGTATGTATGTATGTATGACACACCGTTGACTGGAGTTATGTTGAGTTATGTTGAGGACGCTGGTGGCGATACTTAGTAGTTGGAGACTCAAATTCTGGGGGTCTGAGTAGAATGGCTTGCCTCCCCCCTTCCTCTCACTCTCTCAAGCATTTCTGTTAGGATGTCTTTCTCGTGTCTAGAACGAGACGGACACAGTAGTGCTGCTACCGGTACAGCAAGTACTGGCTCAATTTAGCCTCAATATGTAACTTCCAAGACCGAGAGCCTAGGTACTTTACCGTACAATACTTCACAGCTCGCTGAGGTCAAGGTCGGGTTGGTTGGGAGTATCCCAGCTATAGGATGCCGAATACACTGTGTGCTTTGAACAATGAAATAGCGATAGATCACGCATTCTATTCCCTAGCATGACAACCTAATGCTCCCTGCTCCCTTTGAACCCGAGGGTTTGCCCAGTTCCAGGTTGTTGACCGAACGTCATTGGCGCACTGTGATGCTTCGGTAGGAACGAAAGGCATGGCCGTTTAGCAGTTCCAGAACTGTTAGTTCCCTTATGAGGTGAGATGCCTAAGGTAGGTAGGTAGTTGTGGATTGAAAGCTCAAGTGAGAGTCGTTACCTGAGGCCTTAGCATTGCTAGGTGTTCTCTCGGTGGTTTGATCGTTAACAGCCACGACTTATGTACATACATATTCTCTCTCTTCAATCTGTGTTTGAGGGGACCATATGGTTAAACAGCAAACAGGGGTAAGAACCAATATTGCGACGTTAGCGTTTATGACCTGCAAAGGACGGACGGGCTTGCAGAGTTCCGTATTCCGCCCGTGTTCATATTCATTGTTCATGCAACGGCGGACCGAACGGGTCACCAAAGGGTACGGAGGTAAACTGGGTTACATGCTGGGATCCTGGTACGCGACGATCATTTAACGATTTGTGGGCCTGTACTTCGTACTTCGTAGTCGCTGGCTACTAACTTACGGAGGTAGATAGGTATGTACTTCCTAGAGAGAGTATATCCGCAGTCGAGAACCTGAACAATGGCGGGCAGCTACGGACTGACGTGCCCTAAATACAATTGAAACTCATGTCGAAAAGTCTCTTGTTGGATGGGTTTTCTCACCTCGCAGCAGGACTTGAAATTCGCACAGATGGCACGAGAATTTTACGCCATTTTGACACACAACGAATGCACCAATAGCAGCGTTCGCCTCATGGTCCGTGCAAATTAATTTCACGTTTAGCGCAAAAGTCCCGCTTAGTTACCTACTTACGGAGGTAGTGCGTCAGCAGGTTTTCAATAGTTACATAAGGTACCCAATACCTTAGGTCCGGTGGTAACGTTCTTCTTGCTGGGTGCATTCTGGGTCTCTTCCCCAGCCAAACTAGTAACATCACTCAGTATCTCTGTCAGCAGCACCCCTCAGCAGTCAGCCAAAGTTCAGCACTGCCAGGCTTGGAAGCCAACACTACGAGGCCCAATCTTGCTCACCAGATCCCGGTTTCCTTCTCTTCACACCACCGCCCACTTTTCTCCTTCTCCCAATTCCACACTTTCCTCAACCGACACTCGTTTCCCATACACTTCTCGTGGCCGGAAGCGCCGGCCCAATCCGCACGCCATCACATAACCAGGAGGTTTACGAAGCACAGCCTACGGACCCCTTCCGCTCGTTTGCATTCGGATCCCCAGAATCGGCGCTGGCTTGTCGGACGCAGCATCCCAAAAACGGCTGAAGAGAAGCCTGAACGTAGCTACGATCAATTACATCGTTTTGGCGGGAACGAACGGACACGGGCGAGCAAAACCGTGTTATCGCTGAAGATCGCTTTTTGCAACCCATATAGCAGATAAGGGACCCTTCCGGCATTCCCGGCGAAGCATTGCAACTCGAGCCATCGCATCCAGTCCTGTGGAGGAGGGGGAAACTCGCCGAGAATTCTGTGTCGCAATTTTGACCAACTTCTGGACTACTTTGGCTAAGCGACTTTGCTGCAACACACCACGCGACGTTTTCGACGGCTTCTGCAATTACCGTTGATCAAACAACCTGTTTGACCTCGGACGAAACTGGGAGCGAATTTGTTGGGATTGACAGGCGCTTGTCGACCACGCCGGCAGTTGATTACTTGCAGCGCTTCCGGCCGGCGCTGGCACATGCGTTGATTGAACAGCCTCAGCTGCAAATACCTCTGCTTAGCCCCGTTTGATCGGGGCCGAAGCCTGCACGATGGGTATGCCAAACCTGTCCACGCCGCATTTGACCGGATTATCCCATATTACAACGCAGCTCGACCGCTAACACCCCGTTGCAGAGACAACACTCTTCCCAATTCAGGCGCTGCCCACCTGCGTCACGTCGTGTGGTGTCCTCTACGACGTTAACGGAGCCTGCGTCCCACCAAAAGTTTCAACAGCAAATGTCGAGATCTACAACAGCTGCTTTTGCAACGATGCACGTCTTGCTCCTTTCAGGACGGGCGGTGCTGGACCTTGCGACAGCGTCTGCACAGCGAATGCTGGTGACGCGGGATCAATCCAGGGCTGGTTCACAAGCTTTTGCGCTGCTGCGGATAATGGTGCTCCGCAAACGACAGGCACAACATCAACATCACGGCCGGGCGCTACTGCTGGAAATGCTAACGCCGGCGGCCAACCGGCATCCTGGTAAGGGACCTCATCTGTCCAACACTAATGCTACACCCTCAAAACTGACTGGTCTCGCCTCTTTCCAGGATTGACAACCACTATCAATGGGTCATCTTCCTTGTCATCATGATCGTGGCCATCGTAGGGATCTGGGTCGGCGCTTGCATCTGGCGACGACGCTATCTCCGCAAGAAGGACCGGCGCTACGCTCTCGGAACGAACCTCGCCCGCGCAACCGAGTCTGGCCGCGTGGTGCCCAATACAAGCAGCGCGGGATCAATACACGTCCCTGCGGCGGGCATGTTCAACCCCGCGCCCATCAGCTCTGCTGGTGTATACGAGGAGAAGCCGAAGAAGAAATGGGGTCGAAAATAAGGCTAACCGGCACTCTTGCCATCGACCCCACAACGAGAAAGGCGTATTTCTTTTCAACGATACAGACGTTCCTATAGACGCCGTATATATGCTCCCGCTGTTTCGTTGTTTTCATTGGGCCCACGGAGGATCACGGTAACCCGTCACCTCTTCTCTCTTTGCTTATTCACATGCATGATGCACACTTCCATTCTTACCGGGGCATTCAACGGTACAGTGTAATGTGCTGGAATTATTTTTTGCTTTCCCGTTGTTGGAAGATCCGACGTAGGGATCATGGGAGATGATGGGCCCCGGCGTTAAAGGGCAACGGTGATTTTTGATCCAGGGTTGGAGTTGTTGGTATGGCTACTCAGTTTCTCATGTATGAGTTATTTCTCTATTCGCTGACTAGAGAGAGGCGGGTTCCGCGGGCTGGTTCACAGGCATGGCTTATTCTTGACTCTGTTGCTACTACACAAGGCTTGACTCTGTTGCTACTACACAACGGGCTACCTACCTAGGTTTCGACAGCCAGAGAATCAACCTTTTCTTTGCCTGCACAGTCATGCGGGTTTAGTTGCCATATTATGTCGCTGCTACGGGTTGGCCCTATTTGTGTTGGACAAGTAAAGCAATTCGAAATTGTCTCCGCAATCGCCATGGAACAATCTATACAGGTCAAAATTTGCGCTAAATTCTAACAACTCATGTCAAGCCCCTTGTGGTGTAGTTGGCTATCACGTTCGGCTGTAAAGGAATTTATTGATACCGAAAGGTCACCGGCTCGATTCCGGTCGAGGGGACTTCTTTTTTTTCTTTCCATTCCAATATGTCAAAAACTCGGTTTAAGATGTCAGCCCTTTCAGCCAAAACAATTCGTCTAGATTTCGTTGTGTTGGAGGCTGGTTGGCAGGATGATGGATTGGAACGCTGTTGGACAACCGGGTGCACTGCCCCTTCCATCCGAATTGTGGCATGCAATACGAAGTACTTCTCGTTTCGCACAAGGTTCTGTGCTTATTCCACCTTGGCCGCAAACGGAGTTCATCTCGCAATAAAACACCATCCCCATACCTCGTACTCCGTATCACCATGGACAGATTGCCAGATCCTCCTTTTTCTTAACACAAACGCATACCCACGGCTTCCAATCACAAAGCGAAGGCGAGGTTGCCGTTCCACTCGAACAATGTCACATCTTGTTGACGATCAGAGAAATGGCAATGCAATCGCTACTGTCATTCATACCAAGCACCTAACCTATGCTGAATTCTTCCCGAGCCCACTCAACACATTCTATCCATACCACGTAAAAAGCCACGCAAAGTCTTCTACGGAGAATGACAAGCCCTAACTTAGCCCCCACCTCGTCTCTCATCTCAAGGGAAGAGCCTGAGCCTCCAGCTTGGCCTGTTCCTCCGCCGCATCCATGTACAAGTCGATCAGGCAGCCTGCCGACCAGGCTTGAGTAGGGGACTGCAGTTGCCAAACCTTGTCAGTGACCAGTGTGCTAGGATCAACCACAATAACCAGACCGGGAAAAAAGGACTTACCGAATCCGCACAGTACTCGCCATTCTTCTGCGTCAACTCTGTCAAGCCCGCCCAGGGGCTGAGCTGGATCATTTCCTTGCAGGCGATCAGCCGGCGCGTGACCTGCTGGAAGGCCTCTGTACGGCCCTCGGCGTCGTCGCGCCCGCGGCGCATCAGGTCAAACTTGAGGAGCGCGCGGAGGAAGAAGCCCGTGGGCCACAGCCACTCCGGGCCCTGGTGGTAGTTGCGACCCTTGCTGGTGGCAAAGTCGTCGCTGTCCTCGCTGTTGTGGTAGTACGGGCGGTAGTTTAGGTCGCTCGGGTCGAGCGTTGCCATGCCCGTCGGCCCGCGGAGCACCTTGTCGGCCAGGCACAGCGCGTGCATGGCGTGCTCCGGAACGAACAGGTCCGGGGCAACCGTCATGGCGATCGGGAAGTTTGGCCGCAATTGGTAGTCCTCGTACTCCTTGCCGGAGCGGTAGAGGTCCTTGTAGATTCCCCGACGGTTGACCACCGCAGGATTGACGTCGTAATTGGCGTCTTCGGAAGGAGAAGTCGGCACAAAGTAGCATCGCTCAAAGTTGTCCTTGATGAGTTTTGCCCAGTCCTTGAACGAAATCTCGCTACCGTCCGTCTTTCGAACGCCTGCTTGCTCATACCTCCCGCTCTCGTTCAAGGTCGCCAGCCAGTTGAGGGCGCTATAGAGAAGGCCCGTAATCTCGACGGCGGCGCCATCACGTGGGGTTCCGGGAACACCCTTCGAGCCAGCGCGCTCACTCTCACCCATTTTGTCCATCCAGGTCCCGCAATTACTCTGGTTTCCACCGAATACGAAACCGTTGCTCCAGTCGACTTTGATCTCCTGGTTGAAGCCCTCATCGCTCATCTGCATGTCGAGGCCCGGCCCAGCGTTCGCTTCCCGAAACTTCATCCCTTCAGCGTGACGCTGCAAAGCCTCCTGGATGATTTCGCGAATCGTGCTCTCCTTGCTGTACGCCCGAGGATCATCGGTTGGGAACCATGTATCATCATACGGCAAAAACCGCCGCTTGACCTTTTCGTCGAGGAGAGACAAACCACCGGGTACGATCCGGGTGTAGTCCTGAATGCATTGCAGGAAGAACCAGACCGAATCGCGGGCATTGTAGCGCGGGGTGTTACCGCTCCCGAGGAGGTTTGGGACCATGCCATGCTTGAGAACGCTGGCAAAGGCCCGGATGTGTTCCTTTGCCTCCTCATAGCGGCCGGTGCCAAGGTACAAACCTCGAAGAGAGATGAAGACATCGCGTCCCCAGCAGCGGGCCCACTCAACTGCGAAGTGGGGAAGCCCAGCGGCAAGCGATGGCACTAGTCGGTCAGGATAGAGGGAGGCGGACTTGACAAGGCCAGTCTGCTGAACGCTGACCATGGCCAAACTTTGCAAGAACCACTGCCCTTTGCCGATGTCCGTGTTCATGAGGGAAATCCCTCTCTCCATGGCTGCCATATAAGCAGTCCGGATGACAAGGCCGAAGTACCGTGGTAAGAGAAAGCTGGGGATGCTGCGAATTGCATCGAAACGATCTTTTAGCCAGGCCGCAGGCTTAGCCAGCCGGCTGTAAAGTGGCTGGGCAGAGGCACGCTCAAGCCTGCCTAGGATGTAGTCGAGCATCCATTGGCCTTCCCGAAGGTTTTGGCAAAGAGGATGTGCTAGGTTGTTGTCCTTGATGATGTCTTTGAGAACGCTCCACCAACCTTGCAAACCGGCGTAAACAAGCTTTCCGTGGCCCGGTATGTCGTATACTCCATCTTTCCCATCACTAGCGTCTCGCTCCTCCGGCTCGCACTTATACAACAAGAAGTTAAGGTCAATCAGGTTGAGGTTTTCCATTGCAGCTTTGGCTCCAGATGTGACAAAGGAGTCCAAGCCGCTCGAGTGCTCTGCTGTCGGGATCCAGGTCTCAAACAATGCAATGCTGCCTGGAGGGAACCTGTCACGGACCGTAATGATGGTGTCATCCCCCTTTATCTCCATGCGGATTCCAGGAAGCCCAATGACACGGCTTGGGAGCCCGCGCAAGTGTCTCTTGTCGCTCAACGCCTCGTCAACAGCCTCTTTGCTTGAATCGACCTCCAGCATCCAGCTGCCGAGATGCTTCGCCTTGGTACCGGTGAGGCGGACAGGGCTAAAGGCTCCATTCCCATTTCCGTAGCCCGGGAAAGCGGTGTGTGCAATCAGAAAGTAGCCTTTTCTAGACTTGGGGTGAACCCTGTGAACCGTGACGTATTCATCTTCATGATGTATGTGCGTCTCATCATAACCATCCATGCCCATCAGGGTGTGGATCTGGTTGAGCAGCTTCTTCACACCGCCGATCCCTCCCTTGCCTTCTCCCACACGCACAGGATTCTTGGACGACTCTGATGTATACAGACGGGTTTCTCCCACAAGGTCTACCAGTCTAGGGTAAATCTCATCGTATCCCATGACACTCCCGGTTGCACTGGCGCACATGCTGACTAGGGCCGCGTTGGGCAAAGTATCGCGGGCGTCTCGCTTCTGAGCAGGGACTTCATTATCGTGGGTGCAGTCCATGAAGAGCGCTTGAACAGGAACCGGTCTGATACGGCGAATGATTTCCCGAATGTACTGATGGCCATTTGCGCCATCACCGCCATTTTCCATTGCGTGGCGGACTTCCGAGCTGTGAATTTCATCCACCTCAAAGCTTCCAATGGGACGGCCACCGTGTCGGTGAACCAGCCGGCTTAGCTCGCCTGTACTCCATGCCTGCATAGCCTCCCGGATGAGCGCGCTCAAGCCAAGACGCTTCACGAAGACATAGTCCATCTCCTCGGAACCCGTAAATAGCTCGGCAACGACATACAGATTGGGGCGGACACGTCGTGCCTCATCGAGAATATGCTCGGCGACATGGATCGGGGTTGAGTGGCAGTTGTCAATGCGGAAACCGGCGAAGTACTTGGCCAGCATCCGCGCATACTTGGTCATATGCTCCCAGAGCCATGGGCTGTCTTCCGGGCCATTGCCGTACCGAAGCTTGGTGCAATCACCCCACACAATGACTTCCCGACGAAGATAGACCCGAGACTGTGGACCGGCGTTGTCGACTAGGGCGTTGCCGCCCCAGACCCATCCGTTGTTCACCAGGACCAAGTCTTCCTTCTTGTGCTTGGCAGTGATCTCATTCTGGGGGAGACGGGTGAAATATGTTTCGATCAGAGGATTCTCTCGGTTGATAGGTCCTAGTTTCGGCCCATGCTCGTCCAGACGGACGTACTTTATGCGGTTGAAGAGCTGTTGGAGAGTCTCGGCAATTTCTGCATCGTATTCCTCATAGAACGGCACGTTGACGATATCGAGCAGCTGCGCCATCTTGGTACGAGCTGCGGCTTGGTCAGGAGACTGTCCATCGCCGCCCTCGTGTCTGCCAAAGAGGGCAGACAAGAGGGCAGCGGCGACGTTCGGGTCAACTCTTCTCCTGAATCGCTCCCCAAGGCGATCCATCCCCCTCAAGCCGTGCTTGATCAACCATTTGGCCTGCTCCTCAACAGAGGCGGAATGAAGAGTGTCAGGCCCGCCTGGACCAAGAGAACCCTCAGGAAAAGTGCTCTTGCCAACAACCCAAGACTCAATCGCCGCGTCAGCATCACGGTCTACATCAATGACATAGTACTCCCAAAGGCGGATCTCTGCGATGACTTGCTTTTTGATGGCTTCCATGATCTTGAGGAGGTCGTCGAGCGATTTGAGCTCTGTAGGCAACCCCAACCGCTCCAGATTAAAGCCAAACTCGAGCAGCTTTGTGTCGAGCAAATAAGCTGATTCCAGCCATGGAGCTGTTGTCAAGTTGTAGCCGGCTTCTGGATGCTCTTGTAGCCAGGCCGTATTGTTGGCGGTGTGGTTAAGCACAATATCTGTCAAGCTAAGCAGGGAGTGGTTCTTCTCCAAGCTTTCCACCAGTTTCTCGACGTCCTTCTCGCCTCCTGGGAAGCACTGAGGGTCCCACCCCAGCTGGTCATACAAGCTGTACGGAGAGTTTGAAGCACCCCTGACCTGCAAAGGTGTGAAGTGCACCATGTTATAACCCCTATCACTGATGCCCCGGAGGTGGCGCTCCCAATCCTGCGGGTACTTGCCCATGAACTTGCTGATAATGGAAAAGACAGATAACGCCGGCAGCGGCAGCGACTGGCCGTCGAGCGTGAGGCGAGGTGCGACATCGATGTAATACCATGGTGTTTTCTTGGTTCCAGCCTCAGACGCACTGTCTGACGAGGCTAAGTCGATTGCTAGATCTGGCAGCTCGGCATAGGTGGTGTAGAAAGCGTATGCGCCCGCTTCGTAGATGGGAATGGAGATCTCAAGCGTGCGATTGAAGTCAGGAACGAGTCTGCGGTAGTCGAATTAGTGCTCAAAGAACCTAGCACCTGCATTCTGCTGGAATATGGCTTACTTGAACTCGCGGAATTTATTACGGTGGAATTGGGCACCCCGCTCAGGAATGTTGACCCACAAGCTGCCATGACGACATATGCTCGACGTGCCTTCGATGGCGAAGCGTATGGTGATGGGATCGTGGCTTTTGGGAGCGAGGTAGATGTACTCGCCGGGCACCTGGGGCGACCCATCGTCGTTGAGAGGCAGCAGGTAGACTTCGTTGGAAACCATGGTTTTGGGGATCATGTTGACGGGATAGGACGGAGCTCGGAAGCTCCAGAGCTATCGAGGTAGGTAAGGTAGCTTAGCACGTCGATTGCCCCGCGTCGGTCTCCAATAGCCCGTGCCGATCAGTCCCCCAAGCACCAGACAAGACAGAGAAGAAGGGCAAGAGATCTGAAGAATCTCGACATCCCCGGGAAAATACCTTAGTTGCTCTCAAGGATAAACAAATATGCGGTCAAAGACGCTAGTCTGTCGGTTCGTGACGAATCCCAGTTTTCCAGGAACGAAATGGCAAGCCGAATGGAACTCGATCAGGTCAGCAAAGCCGAGATGCTGGGCTGTGGACTTGAGCGAACCACAATGGAGGAAAAAGAGGTGCAATTAAAGGAATGGATAGAAACAAGGCAATGCGAGCCAGGCGCCGCCTGCGGGTCGCTGGGATCTGACCGTGAGAGTACAAGGTAGCACCATGGCGAGACGAATTTGGAAAGTTTCCGCTTGTGCTGCGGACTGCTGCTGGGTTCGCAGCCCCTGCCTCGCAACTTTTGGCTCCAAGGATGTCGTCATGCGGGGCGCGCACGGCGCCTACGGCGGCCCAGCACAAAGCTGTTGGTTTCAATACGCGATATGAATCGGCACGAGTCTTAACTGGGCTAGCCCTCTGAGGTGGTTAGTAATGTGGAAGACTGGCAGTTATTTTGGGTTTCAATGGCCCGCATCTCCGACCACTATAACGGCTGCTAGGTTCCGTGTAGGTCGTTATCGCTCTGAGGCATGATGGATCTGTCTCTTGCCCCGGGCCCTAGCCGGCGGGAGAGTGGGGCTTAATCTTGGCCAACTGCCCACCTCAGGCTCGGGTGCCCTCAAAACTGCGCTTTCTGCGCATCGACAAAGTGGCCAACTATCTGTTAATCCTAGCCTCTGATTCAGAAAGCCCTTTTCCTTCGACAACCGCCTGTGATATTGCTGCACAATACGGAGAACACGTGGGAGTAAAGGCCGAATTGTGAGTTGCCCAAGGCTGACTGAGCGCCCCGCCCCACTTCAACCTCTCGTTCTGGCCCTGTTCGATGACATCACAGCAGACGGAACCTTTGCAGGGCGCGGCCCGACGAATCCCATCGCGCCTTGATGATTATGGATTGACGATTCGATATCTTGGCATGCCTGCACTTTGGGAGAACTGTCCGGATTTCAAAACCTCTTATGTTCAAGCCTGTACGGAGTGGCGTACTCATGATATTCACAGTATGTAGTCCTGACGAGTTAGTCTCTTATTCGCAAAAGTTATCACAGGTATTGTAGCGCTGGAATGTTACCACGTCGATACGCATTTGTTACCGCGAACCAAGAATGCCGATGGCATGTTGAGGCCTCTATAGATTTAGAAGGTCCGACCTAGTCCAGTGTATGTAAACGTGTACGCAGGTGGACGGGAGAAAGCTACGGCCGGGCGTTGTCGAGATTGATGGCCGGTTTGGTTCACCGAGTCGCCGTTTCCCACTCCCGATCCAATCGAAAACGGTTGACGTTAGTGTAGTGTACCGTACAGGACGGAAAGTGCCGAAACTTTTCGAAGTGATTGGCTTAGCTCCGTCCATCCAAACTTCAGATCTGTCAGAATTCGTTTGCTGAGATGCGATCATGATGCCTCGAGACACCTCGCACAGGGCTGTGTTATCGGAGAAAACCCCGTAGATAACCGCTCTGGTGCATGGCATCACGAAAACCGAGGCTTAATTAGCAGGTTCGTGACCTCGGCGGACGGGGAGAGCGAAAGAAAGCTGCCGAGGACAACAGTGTGCAGTCAGCTGTGGGTCGCCTGTCACAAGCTGCCAGTTGTGCACAAAAAAAAATTTGAATTTGGGTGAGCAACAGGAAGGGAAGGCGGTCTGCGTTTTCTGCCTCTCCTTGCGTCATGGTTCGCTGGACAGGCCAACAGTGTTCCCCCGTATCTGACCCTCGGGCCGTATCCGTATCTCAGCTGTGATTCAGAATCCATTCGCCTCGGTTCTTCTGTGCACAAAGAGGGCAGGAACACAATCGGGTCAAGGTCCGGGTCTTTACCCAAGTACAAAACGTTGCCCAGGGCACCTTCCAGGTTATATTTCGATGAGGCGAGAGCTTGGGAGGTCTCTTCTTGTGACCCCATATAAAACCGGTTGTCGGATCACCCCTGCCTTGCAGACCCTTTTGTACAGCACATCCCTTGCACTGGGCCATCGCCGCTCATTCTGTCTCCATTCCTCACCCAACGCGACTTCTCATTCGGACCATTCCCACAAGCATATTCACTTCCCCGAACTCAGCTGCAACCCGTTAAACCAAGGCTTCTCATCGCAACGCTCTCGCGTCGCTCGCTTCTCGTCTTGGACTTGTCTAGCAACACAACAGCCCCTCGCACGTGAACGCACGCAAACGCTGAAAATGGCGGTGACCGCGGATCCTCCTCGACAGAAGCATAAGGTGACCGTTATCGGTTCCGGTAACTGGGGCACGACGGTTGCGAAGCTCGTAGCCGAGAACACGCGGGGATGCCCAGACTTGTTCGAGGAGGAAGTCCAAATGTGGGTGTATGAGGAGGATGTGGTGATTCCTTCTGGCTCCCCCCATTACGATGCTTCTGTCGGCGACAAGCCGCAGAAGCTGACGTCCATCATCAATAAGTACCACGAAAACGTCAAGTACCTGCCGGGCATTCCGCTGCCAACAAACATCGTCGCGAATCCCTCTCTCCTCGATGCGGTCAAGGACTCGTCCATCCTCATTTTCAATCTTCCGCACGAGTTTATCGGCAACATTTGCAAACAGATCAAAGGCCACATCCTTCCCTTTGCGCGTGGCATCAGCTGTATCAAGGGTGTGACGGTGACGGACGACAAAATCGAACTGATTTGCGAGTACATTGGTGAGGAGCTCGGGATCTACTGCGGGGCACTTAGCGGGGCAAACATTGCCAGTGAGATCGCCAACGAGATGTGGTGCGAGACGACTATTGCGTATAATACCCCACCTTGCGATCGGCGCGACGTTAACGGGGCAGCGGCCGAGAATGGTCATGTAATGGCGGAGCATCGCGACTCGCGGGGGAAGGTAATCAAGACGCAGCTGACGGCCCTGCCGCACGACTACCCGCCCCTCGACCACGGCGAACTCCACAAGCTCTTCAGCCGGCCTTACTTCACCGTCTCGATGGTATCAGACGTGGTTGGTGTTTCGCTCGGTGGTGCGCTCAAAAACATTGTTGCCATCGCCTGCGGCTTTGTCGAGGGCCACGGCTGGAACATGACGGCCAAGACGGCGGTAATGAGGCGAGGCATGCTCGAGATAATTCAGTTCGCCCGCGAGTTCTTCCCAGAGACTATTCAAGAGAAGACCTTCTGGGAGGAGAGTGCGGGCTGGGGCGACATGATTGTGAGCTGCACCTCGGCGCGCAACTGGCGCTACTCCAAGATGGCCGCCGAGCGCGGCGTATCTGTGCAGGAGATTGAGCGAACCGAGCTGAACGGCCAGAAGCTGCAAGGCATCTCGACATCAAGGGAAGTCAGCAGCTTCTTGAGGGCGCGGGGCGTGGAGGACAAGTACCCGCTGTTCAAGTTGGTTGAGGGGATTTTGGACTGCAAGGTGAACGTGGAGGATATTCCCAGCCTGTTTAGGAAGTAGATGGAGGTGCGGGACGGCACGATACGATGCGGAGAACCGGCGCAGGTTCGCTTACCGAGGCATTCTAGATAGATGGGTGGTATTGTCCCCTCACGGGGCCGGTCCAACACAAAGCATCTAATCCTGCATGGCGAGCATGAGTTACATCCTAGAGACCGATCACATAGCGTAGTACTAAGCTCAACATTACCGCAGTTCCAATCGAAGTTCGACGATGACCCTAGCTCGCCATTTCCATTGATATAGCCCCGTTTCTGCTTCCAGACATCGGAATAAACACACGGTCATTACCAGCTGGCATTCAACAACGCCATTTTCTCCTCATCCGCAACCTCTACCTTTCCCCTCCAGTCACTCCCGAAACCCGGCCTCTTCCCTTCTCCCGCCCTCGACTTCGTCCCCCGGTCATCGGCGGGCATCGTCCGCTCTCCGTCCCCAAAGATCCTCTTCCCCACAGCGTCGTAACTCATCCAGAGCAGATTGAACACCACTGTCATCATAACGACCAGCCAGGGCGGCGAGCGCCCCTTGTCGTCGGCCACCAGCCGGCCGCCGTACATGAGCAGCAGCAGCACCGGCGCCCAGAAGCCCATGAACAGCAAGTCCCCCAACTTTTGCCGCCACGTCGTGATTGTGTACGGCTCCAACGCCTCCAGGTACGCCTGGTAGTCGCCCGGCAGGTCGTGCTCTCGCGCGCCGTCCCGCAGCAGGCCCAAGTACCGGGCCGACGGCTGCGCATAGTCCGCCGAGGGGCGTCGGACGGGGAGGAGGAGTTTCTTAGCCCAGGAGGGGAGTTTGTCGTATGGTGGGGCGGGTTTCTTGGGTTCGTCCTTGTCATTGGTGTGAGGTTGCGCCGCCGCCCGTGTGCTATCGTCGTCGTCGCCACTGTCCGGGACGTCAGGTAGCCGTGGGGCGTAGAGGGTGTGCGCGAGGAAAGCCTTGGGAGGGAGCGGCACCGGCGGCTTCTCAGGCACGCCGACACGGGCCGGCAGCACGTAGCACGGCACCAGGATGTCGTGGTAGCTTGCGCCGCCGCCTTCGGTGGCTACGATCTTTGCGTAGTCGTCCAGTGTCACCTCGTACACTACCCCGTACAAGCCCTTGTTCCAGACTGGTCCGCGGCGACCAGTTTCATGGTCTGTGTGGGAATCGACATCGGATAGAGGGACGGGAGGCGTCGTGAAAGGGGGATGATCGGGGATACCGGGCGGGAGCTTTGGCGGGTCGAGGGGCGGCGGCTTGATGGGGAGCTTGCGTAGGGCCGTGTTGGCGAAGCACGGCTCGCGGTAGGGCATGCCCGGCAGGTCAAACGTCAGGTCCAGCGCCGGAGCAGAGACATTGACCTGGCTCAAGGGACGGATGCCGCGCATGCCGAGGAACGTTGCGGCACACATGTTTGAGCCATAGGCGAGGTAGAGGACCGTCTTGGGTTGGAAGAGCGGGTCATGTTGCACCGTCTTTGCGAGGACAGGTTCATTGGGGAACGGGCTGGGCGACGCATCAGGCTCAGAGAGACGGGCGGCGGAAGTATGCGGGATGGATGAGACAGGAGGATATGAAGGACCCGACGGCACCGTCGGACGGGGAGCCCAGGACCAAAGGGCTTGCAAGTGCCGCAAGCTACAATTGGCAGCGTCATCGTCGAAGCTTGAGATGTTCGCTTCAGTGCTCCGTGCAAGTGGGGCCGCGGGCGTGGAATGAACCATGTCTTTGGTCTCAGCTTTCTGATGCTGCAGTGGATGGAGAGGTTGTCGCAATCTTCAGTTGAGATGACGAGATTGCTTCCGCCAATATATATCATGTGCGATCCTGCTCGAATTCGTCACCTGTCTGGGTGGCTAGCTGGTGAAACCCAACTTCCCTCCAAAATTCGTCAGCTTCGCAATCCAGCATCCCATCCCGCTCTACCCGTCGGCCCAGGGCTCCACAAAATCTCAGAGAACCCCCCGCAGTTGCTCCGAGTTCCGGTTGTTTCACCGGTTCCCACGGACTTTGGAGACCAAGACATTCGTGACGGCAAAGCTCCAACATCTTGACACGATCATTTAAACCATCAATGTCTTGCTGCGATATGAGCCAAGGGGCTACACTTGATGATTCAATCAGGATCCTGGAAACTGTTGGCATTATATTTCTCCCTTTCACGATGACTGACTGACACTGACCCAGCGCTTGCCGCTCGGCGTCTCCTGGAAAGCTTGGGCGGTTGAACCACAACATGCGCCAATAATACTCACGAGTATGGCATTCGTTGACTAAGAAACTCGAGCATCGGTCTGAAATGCCTCTCTAGTAAGACTCTACCTCGGCTGCTCAGTCTGGCTACATTTCCACAGCAGATCAAGCTTAGACTGTTGTATCTAATGAGTAGGATGAGCCTTATAACTCACACCTTGACAACTCCGTCAACTCTATATCTGATGCGAACATTACTTTGAGGAAGGTCTGGGAGGTCATCCTTCCCTCTTCTAGCAGATCGAGGTTGAGATGGTCATAAACAATACTATCAGTGGAAAGTTAATTGCAACACACCACCAAGATGAGTCGCAAGGCACTGTTTCAGTATCAGATCTTACTTGAGTTTACAGCTGGGACGTGGTAGCCTGCAAGTTCCTCTGAGAAGTGCTCGGTTCAACTGGGAAGGAAGGCACCAACCAGTCCACGACCCTCGCTAATAGCAACTGCGCCAGACCACGCCTTCCATCATAGTCTCGATTTTGCAAGGGAAACTGCTTCCCATAATATTCGGAATGGATTGCTCAATTCTCTCAGAAAACGTTCAGTTCCCCCCTGCGTTGACCTCTTCCAAGGCCATTCCTCAGACACTGTCATGACCAAATATAGCCTGTCCTTCCGCCTTGGTTCAAGTCCTTGCAAGACTGCATGATTGTTTCTCCGTTGACCTCAAACAAATTCTTCACCATTACAAGTACTACACAATGGAATCACCTGGCCCTTCAACGCCGCCGGCCACCATTGGCCTTGTCCGGGCCGATCTAGCTGAGATGTGGGCAGTTGATCTCCCTCAAAGTCCCAGTCCAAGAATCCCAGCGCCTGCGTTCGGCGCTAGTGACTTCATCGATTTCGACGTCGTTGAAGCTCCCAAGATCGGCCGGCCAAATGCAAGGCGAGACCCCCTTCCAGACATGCTGGCTGGTGCTCTCACCCCAACACCAGCACCGGAATCACCCACGCATCGTAGGAAAAGACCAGTGAATTACCCCTCGTCAAAACGGAAGACGGCGTTAGAGGCGTCCCCAGCCAACTCAACCATTGCCGAGCATCACCAGCAACGTGAGTCCAACAACAGGGTGGCAGACGTTTCCGCGAAAGGCAAGGCTCGGACAAAGCAGGCCAAGATTCTTCCAGAGACTGGTGACGAGGCTCCATCATATATCAAGACAAAGCGACAGAAGCATAGTGAAGATGTGTTCGAGATCAGCGACAGCACAGATGGCGAAGGAGATACCAGGCCCCAGAAGCGGCAAGCCAAACGCCCATCACCCAAAAGTTCTCGCGCTCCGAACGGCAAGACCGCTCAAACTGCTACTGCCGATGACCGTCTGCCAGTTGGCAAGAGAAAAAGGAGCAGTCGAACCTCAAGATTGCAGAACGAATCCGCAGCTCAAAGCGGAAACTCCCGTGATCCAGAACAATGCCAGACTCTTGCAGAGGCGCCGCATGTGCCGCCGCAGCGTAAACCAGAAGGCGGTCCAAGGCGACCTCTACGCGAGAATACATCCGCCATGGCCCAACCAGACCTTGGTGATATAGTACAGGTCGACCTCTCCGGATCACCTTTCCATATCGCGGATGACCTGGCGGGGACGAATTCCTCTGATGATTTGAGGACTCCTCCGCCTCCACCAAGAGCGGATGAACCTGCTATTCCGGCGAAAGCTCGGGGTGAGACAGTCATTAACTCTCACAGTCACGCTTCGCAGGCAAGAGTTCAGCTGGCTTTGGGGTCGACGTCCCCATTGTCTGCGGACCAAATCAGCACTGTCAGCCGACCCAGCTCTATCAGAGACAACCATGATATTGCGCACAACCGGATTCAGGAGACCAGATCCAGCGGTCTTAGTTGGCCATCTCAACAGGCCACGGTGTGCATAACGCGACAGGCCGCTCCTCCCCCCTCTCAGCCCCGGCCATCCCTGCAGCTGGAAGCATCGGCGCTGTCCAGAAAGCTCGCAAAAGGGGATCCAAAACGCAGGGTTGCCGGCAACTTGCTTCCTCGTTCGCAAATCAGTCAGCCTGAAGATGCTTTGCCCTCTGCAAACTCCACGCCAAAGTTGGATGCGGAAGGGGCACGTATGAACCCCCAGAACATCTGGACTCAAGCTGTCATGGACGATTCACCGCCAGCGATTCTGCATAGAATTGTCACTGTAAGTATCTACCTACATCTCTGTCACTTACTGGCTATACGGTGACCGGATACTGATATTCTCTCTTAGCTGTTGCATCGTTCCCTCAAGCCTAAAGAAGAGGTTGTCCGGGATATCGTAGGCGAGTACCAAGAGAAGGCATCACTCCTGCTAGAAAATATGAGAACGCGCCATCACCAGGAGAAGAGTGAGACGCTATCAAGCCTTTGGAAGGCGTCCAGCGCCACCTTTACTGTCCTCTCGATCGCAGAACAGGAGATGAAGATTATCATTGATAGACTTCACGATCTGGACCTGACTCAAACACTGGCGTCTTTCAAACGGACAGATCTGATGGAGAAGCTTGATACGGTCGCTCGCTTGTGCCAGGCTAGGGCGAGCAACTACACGGCGGACGAAAATCGGGCGGGCTCGGAAGCTCATGAAAACGAGGGCTCGAAAGAAACAGATGACGGAAGTGCTGACAGTCTTGTGGAGAATTATCGGCTGAAGCTCGAAGACGGAATTCGCCAGCCCGATGATGAGACAAGCGCGGCATATCGGCAGCTAAGTGCAGAGGCCGACATGTTCATCACACAATGTCTTCAGGGCGGACGCAGGGATAATGCTCGCCCTGATGCTCGCCCGAGTAACAACACCGAAAAGAAGACAAAAACGGCCAACAGAACTACGGATGATGCCCTGGAGGAATTCTTGGACCGAATTATCAACACATTGCAAGAGAGCACTGATGGTGGCTCCAGTCATCCCAGCTGTGATGATGACAGGAAGATCATATAATAATGTTGTTTGCGGCCACAACGGCAAGTACGCTCATCTTGTATTGACTCCTGTACAGGATGTAATGACTCCTGTACAGGAGAGTTAGAAGGGCCGACTCCGCTCCGGGAATAGAGCCCAGACAGCTCCATGGTGATCTGGCTATACTTAGTGGGACACATCTTGACAAACACAGTTCGTTTGATTGCTTGAAATGGCAGTTGTTCAACAGGGGCAAACAATGGTGACAGGCGATCTTAATTCGTTGGAACGACTCAGCATTATTGGGGAAGTTACTAAGAACATGAACAGCGGCAACAATCGCTTTCTGGCAGTCAAATGTTTCGTAGATCCCCAGAGTCCAATGTGGTCTCATTATCCTAATCTAGGTAGACAGCCTGAGAATAACACCGCAAAAGATGGCTGTGACAATAATGCTGATATGGACACCATGGTCCTTGCTACATAGGGTAAGTCCCAGTGGCCTTGCCAAAAGGCCGGGCCCAACCCCCTATTCCTCCTGATCCTAATGACACCAAGGCATCCAAATGGCCTTACAGACAATCATGATAATGCGGAGTCTGGCCGTTTGGCTACACGACGTGCGGGCTCAGATCATCTTACGGTTCTTACCGCATGCCCGCTTCTCCCCTATCCTCTCTCCATTCTTCACGACTCATCCCCTCTAGAACTATGGTCTAGTCTCGTGTCCGGTGGATTCACTCACGATCGATGGTGTATCGGCCTTCATGTCCCAAGAGAAAGCTGCTTCCAGGGCGAAACGGACCGCCACCCAGGAACAGGGGCAGCTCTCGCTGCAGCTCGGGGAGAAAGGATGGCTTCTCAGCGCCACCAGCTGGAGGCGTTCCGTTGTCGTCATCATCATTATCATGATCATCACCACCGTTAGGGTTTTCGGGGTGCCTTCCACCGCCAGCAGCGGCGGCCGAGACGACTACATCATTTTCCTTCTGCTTACCCTGCTGCTCAACAGATCCCAGCTTGGTCAGGACAGAGGGCGGGGGCACTCCGGTGATCTGATCGATTGTGCGTGGAGGCCGGAAGTCGTAAGCCGTGACGACCTCGGTAAAGGATGACTGGTCGATGAGGCCGTCAAAGATGATGGCGTCGATGGGCGTAGCAGGAATAGCCTTGCCCTTGCGGGGCTGATGATCGTCGTCGATAGAAGGTTCGGTTTGATTGCGCTGGCGTGCCATGATGAGGGCTCGCGAGAGCTGGCCGCGAGTCACGGTGGCTTGAGCCGCGGCCTGGACGATGCGTGCAGCTGGCAGGACGCCTGCGCGAAAGGGGAGAGCTAGAGGCATCGTGATGGCTCCTTGCTGATGATGGTAATGGTAATGATGTTGCGTAGGTTTGCTATTGTTGACAAGATCTCTCAACAGGTTGGTTTCTGGCTGCTGAGTTCGGTGAGGTTTGACGGAAAGGGGGAAGAAGAAACGATGGAGGGATAGTAGCGTAGAGGTTCTATATATACTCCTACTAGGTCCATAATTAGATGTTGTTCAAACAATATCCTTCGACTGGTGAAGGTCTGTTCAGCTCTTGTTCGAATAGGCCATCCCAGCCCTCTTCCAGACTGCCGGTGAAGCGCTTGATCAGGTCTTGTTCGGAAACAACTCCGGCAGATGGATAACTTGCTCTGTTTTCACCCGAGCATGTCCCACGCGAGCTGAAGTTGTTTGCCCGTAACTCAGGGACGCCAGGGTTAGCCCAGTGATGTGGCTCAGGGTTGGGGTCCTAGCTACCCATCCAGCCTCCATGTCATTACTGAGTGCCAGTGCGAGAGATGAGATACTTGGCTTGGGGTCTGGTCAGGGTCAGTAGTGGCATAGTGAACAGCAGGCCAATTCCAAGGCCCCTCATAGGCTCATTGTTGAGTTCCCAGACAAGGGACTAGTGTGGGAAAGTCTAGAGAACTAGACAGTTGCTCATGGGCATGGGAATTGGGATGGATGTCTAGTCCTACGGCGTCTTTGATACACTCAATCAACCGGGCAAGAGTGGCATATATCAACTTATATGCACCGGGGAATTGTGTCAAGATCTTGGTGATTCAGAAGAGCTAAAGCTTCATTGTGGATTGATTGTCTTCTAGGCGGCCTGCTGGTTGAATCACATGGTGATTGACAAACGGATAATCAAGCTCATCAACTATCAGCTCGATCATGTCACGACAGCATCTCTCAATTCGGCGTTGGCTCACCAGGTTCACCTAGATGTATTACACTGAGAGTGACCGACCATCAAACCCAGGTTAGGGACCTAACTTGACTCGAACATTGAGCCCCGTGCTGGGGTTGGACCCAGAGTCGTGCACAAATAGGGACTTGCAGTCTCTAATTTAGAGTGTATTTTCCTTAAACTTGTCTGTTTTGGTACCGTAGTGTGGTGAATTGCATCTATTACGACGACAGATGCCAGCAAGCTGGCCAGTTTTGCCAACAACAGCTAGCAAAGAGTTGAAGCTTTCCGTAAGTTCCGTCACAGTGTCTTGAATGTGTACATGTTTGTAGCAGTCTTTAACAGTTTGGCTTCGTTTACTTCATGCCATTATCGGGTCTGGTCCGAGTATCCCTTATACATATGTGCCCCTCAGGCTGGTGACATTCCAAATTCAGTCCATCCGTGTCACAGCGCAGCCAGACAGTACTTTGTCCGCTTTTGAAAAATGATGTACTTGACATGAATAGTCATCGACTCATCGGTGAAGAAGGTAGTAGCTAAGGTACTGCGTGGACTCGATTTGGGCGAGAATGGGCACAAAGATGAGCATCAGGGTGGGAACAGCATGGGGTCATCGGGGTCTACTGTGGGTGTATGAGGTGACGATTCTCGTTAGATATTATGAACTATCAATCTTCGACTTTCTTGTGTGATAAAAGATCAGGCGCCAAATTTGTATGCTAGACCACCCTGCACCCCGGGCCACCTACCCTACACCCCGGGTCCCCTACCCTACAACCAAGTCACCTCCACTACAACCAGAACCAAGTCCCCTACCCTACAACCCCCGTACTTGTTGTTGGTCAGAACCAACTCAGCGCCAATTTCAAATTGGATATGAGACGGCATCATGATTCTGATGGAAACATTGCTAGGTACCTTAGGTACTAGGGACTGTATGTGCTGTCGGGTATGTAGGCTAATATAGTGAGTTCCTTCATCATGTGCTGTGTTCAAGTTAAGCCGGCCTAAACAAGTACTGTAACTCAGGTAGCCAGTGGTATTACTTGCTTGAATCTTATGAGTTCATGGGCTGTTCTCTGCCAGGGAGCCTTCCATGCTACTCTACTCACTCTACCTTATCTAACTGTGAGAGCCACCTGTGTCAAAGGCTTGGTATTGACAACCGAGCACATACCTCGCTGCCCTGGCAAGACTTTGCAGGGGAGATAGCTGGATCCAGGCTCTCGTGAAAAACCGCAGTTCCTTCCTTCAGTCGTCGGAATTAACATTGAAGGGTGTGCATAGTGTAGTAGTGGTTGATCTGGCCGGACGGCAATGATCAAGGGCGATGAGAAATCATGAGATTGGCGTTTTCATTCCAGAACCACAGACAACAACTTCCACGTGCGTTGGAAGCAAAACCGATTTTCCGGTTGGAGGATGAGGAAGTCATTGAGTTCATATGTGGAAGCGCCAGCGAAGCAAGGCCGCGGGCTTGACACGCGACCAGCACGAACACGCCGAGCACAGGATGGCGGGGAACTGGCTGCTGTAAGTGCAGATTTGTCTGAGAAGTGAGAACGCATGTCGTCTCAGTTACATAGGAATACATTGGACGTAAGGGAGCCAAAGACATGCAGAGTACAGACCAATCGACGGGAGCTCTTCGAGCGTCGAGTTTTGGCCCCACGACAGAAATGTGACGTCCCCGCTGGCAGCCCAGCCCAGCACACACAACCCACTGAGCCACTACCGAGAAAAGCTTGGCACGGCAATCCGGGGCGGCACATGTCTCCGATGTGCCCTGATTCGGCACTCCGGCGCACACTACAGGGGTGGCCAGACACTTGCAGGTTGGTGACGTCTACCTGGGTGGCTGCGTCAGCGATTGTCGGCCCGGGTGCTTTTGAAGTATAGGTACGGTAGTTCGTTGAACACTTGGATGTAGATCTGGCGGTCCATCGCTCGAAATTGTTTACATTGTAGAGTAGGGTCCTCCTCTTGCCATGTCTAACTATGAACCTGTGGAAGTGCGCCAATTTCTATCATCCGCAATTCCGCAAGATGGAGAGGAATGTAGGTATGGTGCAAATACAGAAGCAAGAGACGTGTGTAATGGAGTGAACGGCGCACAGCCACAATGCTAGAGCCTGGGTGTGCGCTAAAACTGCGGCCCTCTTGGGTCTCGGCCGGCTTTTCAAAGCCTTGTTGCACTTGGCCCGCACATCATCTTCCCCCGCAAGTCTACTGTTTCGCCTGAGCAACGAAAATCACACGAACATCCAGTTTACACTATCTCGATCGACACACCTAGCATCGTGATCAATCCCAGATTTCTTCCCTTGCTTGCTCCAGCTTGCAGTGTGCTCGAGACGCCATTGTGGAAACTTTGCAGCGACCCGGTAGCTCCTCGCTCAACTGAGGGACTGGACGACCTATTGACGGCATAATACGACTCAGCCTCCCTCTGCGCTGTTTTCTTTGTCTCCTCTACTACCCCGTGCTGTCTGCGACATCTCTGTGGCCTTCGACATCAAGTGGCTGTTCTTGGTCTCCACCGTTCCTCCCGTCCTGGCACCATACTGGTGCCCTGGTCGGTCGCCGACAATAATACGATGCGCTTTCGACAAAGCATGGCGAGGCATTTCGGGGACAGTGTAAGAAGTCTTTCCGACTCGCGATTCAGGTCCATGCTGCGGGCGCGGGGAGGGGAAGAGCCCAGCAGGATATCCGTCACCGAGAGCGCTCAACTGATCAGGAAATAGCTTGGTGTGTCGTCATCCGCGCCGTACCTGTCATGTAGGTTGGACTTTGGCAGCTTTATTTGTTGTTCAGAGACTGATTGCTCTCGACTTCAGACCATGACATTCTTCGTATGTGAATCCGAATTTTGGCTACTGTTTGCCTGCTGCTAGCCGCCATGACTGACTCAACGTCCCAGTGACAAACGAGGACGTCAACGCCCTCAAGCACGATTGGTTAACAGATAATGTACGCCTGCCCCTGCATCTCTAACCTCTTCATTCGGCTCGTGGTTTCAAGCCGCTGACAGACCACGCAGAATATTGCTTTTTGGGAAGAGTATGTCATATATATATCGTTATGTCTCGTGTGACCCCTCGTTCTACGCCTCCTCGGCTTTTACTTGCCGCCCAGCATTCTCCAGGTCACCGTCTCTGACGTGCTTGACACAGATGGCTCGAAAGGGAGATACTCCCAAAATACCCACAAGCTCGAATCGTTCTTCTCCGCCCAAGCATGACGTTCCTGCTGATGCAGGCGGCCGACGTTAAGACCATCGCCAGCGCCCTGCCAGACTTCAGCAAAGTCACGCACATCTTCCTGCCCATCAACGACAGTAGGGAGCGTGAGCGGGCCGACGGCGGCTCCCACTGGTCTCTCCTCCTCGTGTCTGTCATTGACCGGGTGGCCTTCCACTATGACTCGCTCGGCGGCGCCAACTTTTACGAAGCGCAAAGATGTACCGACAGGCTGAGCCGGGTGCTGGGCATCCCGCTCCGGTTCCACCAGCTGGAAGACGCCCCCCAGCAAGAAAACAGCAGCGACTGCGGCGTCTTTGTGTGCATCCTGATGCGGCACCTCCTGGTAAAGCGCCTTCTCAACGCAAACTCGAGCGAGAAGGTGTCCATGTCGATGGCAGGCAAGATGATCGACAGCCGCGGCGGCCGGAAAGAGATGCTGAAGATCGTCGAGTCGCTCCGGAAGGAGGGTGAGAGGCGGCGTAGCGCCAGTCCCTTTGCGTCGTCCCACACCCCGCCCCGCATAGAGTAGGGAGCTCCAGCCCCTGCCCCGCTGGCGAGGAATGATTTATGTCTTGGGTTACACGGCGTTACGGTTGGATTTGGCATTGCGCGACCCCCGAGCGGAGAAAGAGGCCTCGCATGGGTTTTAGAGCCATTCAGCATGGCGTTTATGATGTGCGGCAGGTGGGCGTTATCTGGCGTTTTTGGATCGATCGGCCTGAAGTTTTGAGTTGCAATCTTGCGTAGGTGGCCTTTGGCAGAAAATGGTTTGGTTATAGGATCATGACGAGGGCGGGGAAGCATTCAGCCAGGCTTGCCGCATTTGCTCGCCTTAAAGAATCAAAAATACCCCGATGGACGGAACTGTTCTCGTTCCACGGCTGATTAGTATGATGTTCCCGAGACACTGCTTGCCAAGAAGCGTGACGACATCGTGCTAGAAGCTCAAAGTATCGATATTCATCTCTTGGCTAAGAAAGCAGGATTCTGCTCCATAGTTGCTGATATGAAGCCCCTTAACGCTGCCCAGCGGTTCGGTGCAGTAGACGTCGGCTGTTGCGCCGGCTGTGTTGCCGGGGCGCTTTCCTGAGCAGCAGCCATCTCCGTGTCCCCTGCATTCGCCGCACCAGCGTCCACGCTCGCAGGCGCAGAAGTACCACCGCCGGCAGGAATCCCACTCAACTGCGCCAAGCTCCTCCCAAACCGCTCCATCTCCCCCTTAACGATCTTCTCCTTCCTCTTGAGCGCCCCAGGCCGACTCTTGAGACTCTTGTGCCTTATTTTGCCCTCCTGCCCTTCCCCCTTCTCCGCCTGCTCGGCATCCATAGCCTCTCGGATATCGTCCAACGCCTCGCCTAGCGACTCTAGCGTGGCGACGAGCTTTTTGGACGGCCGCCGCCGCCGCTGCCGCTTCGTTTCTGAACTGCTGCTGCTGCGGCTAACCTTGCTGACCTTGGTGATGCGCGACACAAACGCCGAGTGCTTGATGAGCCGCTTGTCGCGCTTGGTGTTGAGGAAGCCGTCGGTCACCACATTGTCCTCGCGGTGCAGTTTCCGTGGGAGGAGAGGGTCTGCCAGACGTGCCCGCGCCTTTTGCCGCGCAGTCAGTCGCTTTGCGCCGCTGCCGCTTTGGGATGTATTCCGTTTGGCGGTGGTGGAAGGGGCCGTCAGGGCCTGGTTAGATACAGGGTTAGGTTAGTGGTTTCAATTCAGGAGTTGAGTGGGTGGAAGAATGTACCATCTTGGACAAGTGACTGATTTCCTTGAGGAACCGGCGACGGGATGTTTGAAACTCCGAAGTCTTGTGAGATCAAGTCGTACTTCAAGTATGTACTTGGTAAAACGTTCGGAACACAATGGATGTTGGTTGAAGCAGGCAGACCCAGGAATGTGGATGGGAACTTTTTAGTGGGGCTTTGGATGTGTGTGGGGTCGCAGGGAACTCACCGCCCTCGGGACAAGAGCCAAAGTCCACCGACCCAAGGTGGCTTGTCTTATCTCGGTGTTACATAGAGGGGGAGGGGCAGAACAACGGTCACAAGTTCACAAGTCACAACCACAATCTGTCCATGAGACTGACTCCTTTGGTCACTGGTATCCTCCACGGAAACGAGTCCTCAGCTAGGCTCGACGGGTTTGTGAGGTGTGCAGGCTAATTTTCATCATAGCCAGAAGGCCTACCCAGGGCACAGAGCTTGCGGAATCGGAAAATGCGTCTGGCTCCCTCACCCTGACCAAGACACCTAGCAACGTTGCGTCTTGATCTTTCCCTCTCTGTTGAGTCTGGTCCTGAAGCCATGCAGCAGATAACAGAAGATGGCACACATATTAACGGCGCAAATGGTACCACCAATTCTATCCAGGATGAGGACAATCGGCGACTCACAGACGAGGAATTCGAGAGATACTCACGCCAGGTGATCGTGCCAGGAGTGGGAAAGGAAGGTGAGATACTTAATGTGTTTAGCGCATTTTTGTTGTTAGTTTTGCTCACATAGACTAGGACAGCTTCGCCTGATTAACTCACGGCTGCTCATCATCGGAGCCGGGGGTCTCGGCTGTCCCGCTGCTCAGTATGTCGCCGGCGCTGGGGTGGGAACTATTGGAATCGTCGACGGCGATGTCGTCGAGCTGTCCAACTTGCACCGCCAAGTGGGCCACTCCACCTCACGCATTGGCATGAAGAAGGTGGACAGCCTGATCACCCATCTCGAGGGCTTGAATCCCCTTCCTAGCTATATCCCCCACCCCGTACACATCACCCCTCAAAACGCAGCAGATATTATCTCGCAATACGACCTCGTAATGGACTGCACCGACAACCTGGCAACGCGATATCTCATCTCGGACGTCTGTGTGCTTCTACAGAAGCCTCTTGTCTCTGCCGCCTCTGTCCAGAAATCAGGCCAGCTGATTGTGCTAAACTGCCCGCCTACCCCACAAGGACTTGTCGAGGGGAATTGCGCTCCTTGCTACAGATGTTGCTTCAAAAAGCCCCCACCGCCGAGCTCCATGATGTCTTGTGGCGAGGCCGGTATAATGGGCCCCGTAGTGGGAATGATGGGCGTGGCACAAGCAGGAGAGGCCATCAAAATTATCGCGTCTGCTCTCCATTTGACATCCCAAAGTGATGGTCCAGACAGAAATCTCCGACAGCCCAGCCTTTTAATATACACATACGATCTAGAGAGCGCCGTCGGCCCGTATTCCTTTCGGGCACTGAAGATGGGCAGCCGGAAGAAAAATTGCTTCGCCTGTGGCGAGAACTCTACCTTGACACTAGAGGGCATCAAATCCGGGAACCCCAACTACGACCAATTCTGTAGCGTACCAGCATCAAGCCGCAGTCTTCCCCCAGAAGAGCGCATCACAGCGGCAGCGTATCATCGGGCGAGGGAAAGGGGCGAGCTACCAGAGCATATCCTGCTTGACACCAGAGAGAAGGAACACTTCTCTTTGGGCAAAATCGACGGCGCTGTTAACCTCCCATTTTCCAGGTTTCTCATGAAGGCGGCGGCTATCAAACGGGACGGTTCCCCCGTTGACGATATCCTGCCCACCGTGTCGACTGGGGTTGATACCCCAATCTTTGTGGTGTGCCGCCGGGGGTTAGACTCGCAGGAAGCGGTCGAGAAGCTAAAGGAGCTCGGGCTAGACAATGGTGGGCAGAGGAAGATTGTGGATATTATCGGGGGCATGAAAGCTTGGAAGGAGGAGGTTGATCCATCCTTTCAGTTCATCTAACACTCGGAATGCAGGGCCCCAAAGAAACGGGGGCTGAGAGGGCTGGTCGGGGGTATTCATGTTGCAGAGGAAGACTTGAGGGTAATTTCTGGGGATACATGTCAAGAGGAGACTTTCATTAGTCGCTCTGGGGATTCCTCGCCAACTATGTTACAATAAAGCAGGCCCAAAACACCATCAACTGTGATTACCGTCTGTTCAATAGTTCCTACCTTCGCATACTATGACGCATCCTTTTGCAACACCGGGTGGTACTCGCTTATCCATACAAGCAAACTCTCCTTTCCCCTTCATACAGACCCTGTCCGCTTCTTGTTGAACGCCCTCTGATCCTTCAGCCACTGCCGATAGCCCGCCACACTCGAAATCTTTTCACCATAAAAGTCGGGTACTGCCGCGCGAAGTTAGAACCGTGCTTTATCCCAGACAGCAGGACGAGAAAAGGAAAAGGATCACCCACCCGGATTCCGCACCGAACTCGCACTGGGATCAACACGGTGCTTCTTAATACGGGCGAAAAACTCGCTCTCCTTAGTAGCCATAGGACCCTTATACTTGTTCTTGAACGTGTTAAACACGGCCGAGCCCAGGCTGGGGCCCACAAGCCACCCCAGCGCCGACGCGCTCAGCGTCAATCCGCCCAGTGTGATGAGCGGGTCCAGCGGGATCCGGCTCACCAACCAGTCGAGCATGCCCGTGCCCAGCAGGCCCGCGCCCGCGAACCCGCTCCCCAGCGCCGACACTACGCTGAACCCAAATTGCCATCGCCGCCGTGCCTTGCGAAGCTGGAAGAATGTGTTCCAGTCCAGGGCCGGCTGCTCCGGGTGCGCGTGCGCTTGCGCGGCGGCGGCTGCTGCCGCGGCGTTGGCGTCCGCTTCTGCGTCCTGCGTGCCCCCCGCGGCGGGTTGGTGATGGCGGGTGGATGATGATGCGTTGCGCTGGGGTGGTTGGGGGCGGAATTTGGCGACGACAGAGGAGGGGGTCGGCTTGGTGGTAACGGAGGTTGAGAGAGGTCTGGCGGCATAAGCGGACTGAAGTTGTTGTTTCTTCGACGGGGCGGTCATAGAGAAAGACGACGTCGTCGTCAGGATCAGCCCGGCAGAGTAAGGGCATGCGGCGCCGCGCATGAGCATTGGCTGAAGAGCGCCGACAGAGCGGCCGGCGCCCGCACGCAGCATCGTTGTTGCTGTTGGGGCGAGCATCGTGGCTTCGCGAGCAATGTACTGTCGAAAAGCTGCAGTTGCAATTGATGGTATGGACCAGTCAATTAGACCTGAAGGAGATAGCTGAGTAAACGTGAGGCTACAAAGCCTCTGTGGTGGATGACGAAGGGGATGTTGGGCAAGTCGCTTGGTCCAGCAAGGTTGCTGTGAATCTGTGATGGAATCCTTGGAGAGCTGTGGTGGAGCACCGAAGCTTCGATTTTCGCGAGCCTCAGGAACCAAGCATTTGATGCAGGGCAGTGGGCGATAAGCCAGCGATAAGGATAGCGGGTCTTACAAGCTACCCTTTAGCCTCTTTCAGATAGAGCATACGCTAGACATCCTAGTGAATAGCTTATAATCTAGAGTATTACCCTTTACTATGTATAAAGCATTAGTACTTGTAAAGTATTAGTATATCGTTCATAGTATTTAAGGGAGATAGTATATCACTTCAAATATTCTATCACTGAATTTAATTTTGAATTTTGTTTTAAAGTTGCTCTAATATTAATTCAATCCAAAATGAAAAGAATAATATAGAGGTATAACTTAGTAAATGCTTGACTTCGATTTTAAAGATATCAAGAATATAATAGGAACAATATAATCAAGCTTTGAACTAGATTTAAATATTTATAGAATAAGTTTATCTGATTCCTCTATCAAAGTATATAGCATCATTTAGCCTATAGAAATGACCGGCCACGAGATTAAGTGGGGTGCGCAACGGTTAAATAATCGCTTAGGTAATTAGGTAGTAATTTAGGTTGGGGAACTGAGGCACAACTACAACCTCAACCCAACCTCCCAACCTCGCACCTTCAACTGCGCAGCCGCCGTGAGGGCGACGACACGCTTTCTGTGTCTCATTCGGGGACATGAAAGTCGCTTCCATCCTACAACGTCTCTTTACCTTCTTCTTCCTGGGCTGAGGTTAAGCGACACGGTGTTCAACGAAGCGCGTTCCGCAGCCCCCCCTCCAAATCCAACCTCAGCATGGCGACTGAGAGCAGATCAACGCGTCCCAAAACCACGATCGAGATTCCAATTCCCTCCATACGACGATACGTACCCGGTTCTGGCCCGCCGCCACCTCGGATTACGCTAGCGCCCCCCCGCGATTCGACAGCATACATCATCGACCAGTTCGTTCTCCCGACTGAAAGTGATACCACCAAGACCTCCCGGCGCCTCATTCACTACCACATCGGCTTCACCGATCTCCCAGCCGTCAAAATCCTAATACCATGCCATAAGGTACTGGATTATGTCTCGCCGCGCGAGCTGGAGGATTGGGAGTACCAGAATGCCGAAAGGAAAGAGGAGGAAAGGGCCCGCGAGGCAGCCGAGAAGCAGCGCGCTGCCGCGAAGAAGGCAGCCCAGGCTCAAGAGGGTATTCCCACACTAACAGTGCTCAGTCCTGCAGATGAAGCACTACTCCTCGCTAAAGAAGTCGCTGGCCCCTCACTGTCAACACCCCAGAAGAGGAAAGTGGCCCTGGCGCTAGCCGCTGAGACCATGGGAGATACCAGCAGCTACGAGTCAGATGATGCTGCCGTACAACGGCAGTTATACGACGATGCTGGGTCAGAAAGTGAGGGGATCGAAGGCGATTTGGATGAAGAATTGGAGTCGGTGGATCAACTGGCTGCTCCGTATGATACGTCTGGCGTTGTGACCCCTTCTCGAGCTGCCAGTTCGGCACCACTTCCCAAACACCCGTTTCCCACCGTAGTTTCCATGGAAGCGGGTTTTCTAAGCTCTGGCTCCGGACCCTCCAGCATCCACTCGACCAGCGCACCTACTCCTGGGCAGGTACATCCTGCGTGGGCGAAAGCCTTGGGGTTACCAAAGCAAGCCGAGCAACCACTTAGCACCCCGGGCCAGAACGGCCACGCAAAACAGAATGGCTCTCAGCAAAAGTCAAATCCCAAGAACGATTTGAACAAGCCGCAAGACCAGTGTCACTCTTTCAAATCACAAGTTCCAGTCCATCCTGCAAGATCGCGTGGCGGGGCCGCAAGGAGCAGTTCGAGGGAACTAACGTCTGGCTTCTCAACACCCAGCGCAGCAACCAAACCTCCGCTTCCTTCAGAATCATCCGCAAGCAGGCTAAAGGGACAGGAACACAAGGCGCCACCTAAAGAGTCATCACTTAAGATGGGCAAGAAAAGAAAACGCCCAGAATTCCAAGATGAACCAGCCGTGGGGGAAGAAGCCGCAGATGGCGAGTGGGAGATAAAGGAATTGCTCGATGATGGGTGGGTCATTGAGCATGGGGTGAACGTCCATAAATATTTGGTTTTATGGGAGGGTGATTGGCCGGAAGATCAGAATCCTACCTGGGAGCCGGCGGAAAATATCCGAGACCAAAGTCTAATCAGACGCTACGAGAAGAGGAAGAAGGCAGGCCTGCCAAAATCCTTCAAAAAGGCGCAGAAAACCTTGCACCATTTCTTCTCGGGGCCCCAGTACTCCAGCGTCGCTGAAGCCTTCGAAGGCGGCATCGATGAGCAGGCTGGGCTCGATGCGCGGGGTCTGGACAGCGATGCGGAGCCCCCCGATGAGGAATTTGTCGTGACAGAGAACGCCGGTGATCTCACCAGGAATGGGATACAGCCGTCACCAAGCTTCCGCTCGTTCGACAACATGTTGGCGCGGTATAACCAGAGCTTCCCACGAGCGTGAGCAAACCGGTATACCTATACCAGTCCAGTTCAACAAGATCTCAATCCGAGAATTGTCGTGGCGCGGGTCATACAGCACCACCACCAACCAGCGGCCCGGCGTCCACGGCACGTGGTCTCTACTAGGACATGCGGCAGTGGCACGGCAAGATCATCTGACCGAATAGAGAACACGTACTCTTGAAGCGGACAGTCTTTTAGAGTGCTTTCTCTCGGTCAGTCGTGTTGGCGGCATCGAACCCCCACTGCTTCGGATAGCGGTAGATTCATCAGGCTCTTCGCTGTTGGAAGCCGCAGGTGTCGTGGGGGTTGGGGAGCGGCAATCCTGGTATATACGTCGGGCATCACCAACGCTGTTTACTACCAGTACGGATTCCAGGAGGGGAGGATTCCCAACGCGCTGTACTGTACATACATATGTTGTGGGATTAAACCCTAGAATACTACTCCTGACGGCCGGACCCGCTGGCATACCAAGCCAAGCAGAGGGAGTTGATCAGCGGACATACATATTGTCATGTATATGATGTGCTCTTCCGAGTGCCAAGGAATGGCAGCGAATCCTGCTTAATGGATCTGCGCTATGCTAGTACCCGGGCACGCCGGGGTAAATAGGGCGGGAGAAGTGTAACGGTCGGATTACGGTCCGTCCCGGCCCGCAATTCGTGAAGGGCCTACTCGGAAGCCCAGGCGACGCCGCGATTGACGAAGGGACTTAGTTGGGCACCCCTTTTTTCATGGGGGCAGGGGTGGCGGTGGATTTGCAGCCGCTTTGGGAAGGTTTTAGGAACAAAAAGGGGGCTTCTTTCGTGGTTGGGCTCAACTTGTTAGGGGGTTCTAGTCCGGCTGCTTTACTCATTCGAGAAACAAAGTTGTACGACCCGGGTTTGGTCTAGACTCGGACGGCTATGTGTACTAACATTGTGAATTACATACATGTAGGTACCTGAGGTGGCTTGCCCAGACGGAAGTGACCCCCACGGAGGAAACAGCTTGCTTGGTAGTGCAAGCCTCACTACGGTACCTTATGTACCAAGTATATTCAAAGCTGCCATTATTGGGGTGATACTGCCCGCTTGGCGAGGATCATGATGTTTGTGTCCCGACTCGGACGCCCCGCCAGCCGGAGCGGAGAGCTTTTTTTCGCGGAAACGTCAGGCCTAGGTATTGGTCACTGGTGAGATTGTGAGATGGCGGTGAAGGATAGCTCAAGGGAAGGCTGCGCCCGGTTGGATTGGAATTTGGGAACGGGAAGGAGCTTGCCGGCGGCGATGGTGAGGGTTGACGGCAAGCGCGGGATAATGAGGATATAAAGTGCGAAATCGGAGGTATGGGGGCACTGCCGGAAGCCCCTGGGCTAGATGTCGGCATCCCGTCGATCGTCACTGGCTCTCTGCAGCTTCGAATGGATCTGTATGGATTGCAATGTGTTGGCTCGTTGTGGCGTGTTTGGATCCATTGAATTTGAATGTACAGCACTGGTGCACATACATACATACCGACGTCCAGTACATCTCGTGGGTGGGTGTGTTGTCTGTTCAGTTCAGCCAAAGAGATTAGTACGTAGCAGGCCCCTTAAGGTCTCGCTGTGGATACCTCGATTGACGTGTATGTGCACACAATGTTGTCAATGATAATTTACTTATGACTTTCCTCCGCAAGGAAGAAAGTTTGAATACTGCTCTTGCTCTGAGCAAAGCACAACAGAGCCTTTGTTGTAAGGTGGACAGGGAAATTCGGAGGCATCTCATACTTTCCTCCTTAATTGTCGAGTTACAGAGACAAATTGAGAATTACTTCATGTTGCGCGGCTCGTACCACGGGGTTCGGGTGTTTACACATACATATAGACATCGACAATTACAAACAAGCGCGGGATCCTTCCCGCTCAAGGCGCCTTGTAGCTGCAGGGGGCTGCATGGTCGGGTTGTATGCATATGGGCGGGCGTGGGTGGCCGTAAGACTGCAGCGGTGGGCGTGTAACCCACCTACCCTTGAGGATTTAGGTGATTTGACTTCGGGTTTCAAGCTCTTGCGGTGCAACAGTGGAAAGATCGGTAAATACGAAGGCTAAGTAGTGACGGACTCGGAGTACGTGGGAGCAAACAAACATTGGCGATGAATGTAACCTAAGTGGAAAAGGGGCAACTTCAGGCAAACCGCCCGGGGGATGACGGCTTTGAAAACTCGAATATTCCGTCTATTCCACACGCCTTCTATGATATCAAAAGCTTGCGCAATCTAATTCGTCTAGGTAGAGGAATTGTCCGACCAGCGAACCAGTCAAGGGCAATGTCATTGTCGGTTCAGGTACACTCGCTGGCCAGTCAGGGTGGCCGCCAGCATTCCCATCAGTCTTTTGCCGTCCACATTATGCTCATGTTGTAAACGTCATTGTAGCATGGATGTGTACTTCGGGTGCCCATCTGCAACCGTAGTGTCATCCGTCCCAGCTGCTAACCTCTCCTCAATGGCCAAAACACCAGCCATGCCCCGCTGAATCTCCCTCACTGCCTCGTCATCCTCCTCTAGCCGCTTGAAGGGGAGCCTCGGCTCGACACAGGACACCTCCCCTTGGCCGTGGAAGAAGGGCATTGCCGCCTTGACTCCAACAAAGCCGTACCGAATGGCCAACCAATCCGCCCTCGCAACCTCGAGCTGCAACTCCCTAGCCTCCTGCAGCCGGCCCTGCTCGAACAGCTCGCATATTCTGACGCACGCCCTGGGCGCGAGGTTTGCAAAGCCGCTAATGGTTGCGTGGCCACCGGCAACCAGACCCTGCAGAATAAAATCCGCACTGCCGCCGGCCACAAGGAAGTCGCCCTCCCTCCTGCCAGGCAGCTTGGGCACGTCGGCTACCAGCCTCGCAAGCTTGCCCGTGTTCCCGCACGTCAGCTTGACGCCAACCACCTTGGGGTGCTCGGCGATACGCAGGATGACATCCGAGTCCAGGTCCAGGCCGTTGGCCGCCGCGGGGAAGTTGTACACGAGGATCGGAATTGGACTCCGGTCCGCCACGGCGTGGAAGTAGCCCACGATCTCGGCCTTGCTGATGATGCCGGCGTAGTAGCCCGGTGGGAGCACCAGGGCGTGCGTGGCGCCGGCCTCGCGGGCCTCGCAGCACAGCGCGACAGTCTCGCGGACTGAGCTGGCCGCGCACCCGGCGATGATGGGCACGGGCGCATGCAGGCTGTCGGCTGTGTGCCGGACGGCGTCGACCACGGCTTCGATGACGGTGCGCCGCTCCCGCCGCGACATGTGGACGGCTTCCCCGTTGGAGCCGTGCACCACCAACCCGGCGACCCCCGCAGCCAGCAGGCGGGCCGTGTGGCGCTGTATAGCGGGCACGTCGATCTGATCGGCGGCAGTGAAGAAGGCGAGCATGGGCACGTAGACGCCGTTGGGGAGACGGGTGAGCGGCAGAGCCGGGTCTTGTGTGGCGTCGGGTTCGAGACCGCTGTGGGATATGCTTACGGGCGTGATGGGCATGGTAAGAGACGGCGTTGATTCCATTGTGATGGTACGGTATGTGACTCAAGTGGGAACACTTGTTTATTAGGGAGTGATGTATGGAGAGGGTTGCGAGGTCCCACGGGACTGTGGTTACGGTGTCAATGATATTCAGGAGAACTCGGACAACGAGTAAAGGGCTGGCTTGGGGTATTTATGTTCCGTCCAGGTATTTGTAGACAACGGAAGCAAATTGGCAGTGGGGAAAGTCAGTTGAGGAGACCAGCTGGACGCTGGGTGCAAATGCCAAATTGACGACCTGAACCTTCAAGGAAGGAGACGAAATGGGTGGAGTTTGCCCGTGGAAGGATTGGACAAAGAAACAAGGCAGTCACACCGCGAGAGGCTCTCGCTCAGAGCCGGTCAACCACTAGATCGACGGCAAAGCATTTACGTCGCGTGGGGGTTCCGGCTGGTCTGATTCCCGCAGCACACAAGCGCAGGCTGTGCACAGGGGCGAGGTAACCCGAAAGCCTATGTTTCCCTAACAGCGCAGCGCAGAGCTCGGCTTCGGGGCTTGCGTGGCATGCCGTCAGCCAGTTGGCCATCATCAGGGGCGATGCCGACCCCAATTCTCACTGCGATCCGACCGAACCCAAGCCGGCGGGTTGAGAATTGGGCGTCGCCTGTTGGGTGTTGGGCGAAGACGCTAAGGACCGGGAAGGAAATCCCGAATGCATCCTCGGGCGGCCGAAGGATGAGAACTCGGTACGAGACGGGGGTTATGACGGGGTCTGGTGCCATGCGGAAGTTCCAGCGCGCGAGATGGATAGGATCAACACTTGTGGGCGTTCAATGTCAACACCACCTGAGGTGTGTGTTCTCATCGTGTGCTTTAGATCCACCGAATGTAACGTTATCCGGAATTAAAGACGGCAGTTGTACGAAGGCACATTGGATGGCGGTTTGGACGCTTGGGACGCGCACATACGAAGTCGTGTATTCCGTAGCACCTGTGGCGGGCAAGCGGCATCGGAAACGGGCGAAAGAAAGAATCACCACCTTCGCAGGCGCGTCATTGGAGTCTTCGATGTTGACCCCCACGCCCGGTCGGAAGCTGAAGTGGAATTTGCCCCTGTCCCGAAAGAAAGTCCAACCCCCCGCTGTTGTTCAGGGGAAAATCCCAACCTTCCAGCGGTCAAGCGCGGCTTCCGTGCCCTGGCCAATTGGCGAAATGATCGCCTGCCCCACCCAGTTCCAGCAGCTCGGTCATCACTGCCGTGGGGGGACGAAAAGGCAATTGAATGTCGAATGCCGGATTTTGCACCCGGAGGCTCAAATTCGGGAGCGCATTCGGGGTTGTCTGCGATTCTGCATGTTCTCCTTTCGAGTTAGCCACCCTCCAAGTTCAGGGGCAACGCAACGCTGACTGATGAGGTGGCCTCGTGCAGCCCAAGAGGCGGCTAACGCCGGGCACTCTGCAGAACTAATGTCTCACGTGAGGCATCTTCTCGAACCATTTCCCCTGTCTCGTGGGGGCCTTTCCCCGGATTCACACCCGCTTACGGTGTCGCGATTGGCCCATGGGATTGAGAGACGGGGCACCTCACTCACTAACACTAACGTACTCCGTACAGTGCAACTGCAATTCCACCACAGAGTGAATTGCCAATCATCACAATTTGAATGGAGCTTGAGGCTCGACGGTGGGAAGGAGTAAGTCATCGGGATTTGTTCCTGTTGGCTCCAAGCAAGCCATGTGACCACTGCTTCTCTGCGTTATCTTGCTGAATCTCTCGCAACGCCATCCCGTTGGACTACGGAGGTACAGTAATCGTCATTTCTGACATGATCCTCGCTCCCAGCCTAGGCTTACTTTTTCTCCTTCAAGAATTCTTTCCCCTAGACCCGAGTGCTTTCATATCGCAGGCCTCTCATCTCTCAGCCGGCAATCCGTCGAGCCAGTCCAGCAGAGAAAAGACTTGCGCCAATCCCTCCGCGACCATGTCCTCGAACATGGTTCTCCAGCAGTTCGCTGCACGTCCGTCAACTTCGTTCCTCTCAGGCGGGATGTCGTCGAGCCAGTCCAGCAGAGCTCCCCCTTGTTCCAGTAGGGCTTCTCCTTGTTCGAGCAGAGCTCCTCCCAGTGCCATTACTGCCATGACCAAGTGCTCGAGTCTGATTATCACGTGGTTCGCTGGATGTCCTTCAACCGCGTCCATCAGCAAACCGAAGACCCAATTAGCGAGTCGGATTCCGCACTCCAGGAGTCGCCGCCGTCCCTCCGAACCAGAAGAAACTGAACAAAGTCAGCTGGATCCATGAAGTTGATAGCTTGGTTATGAGACTAGTTAACCTACCAGATATGCCTGGCAAGGCATTGATCGCTTCGTCGATGGAATCGAGGATCCTGTTCATGACCTGGCGGCATCCCCCGCGACCGACGGCTTCCAGGACCAAGGCGAGAAGATCAACGCAAATTGCCTTGACCAGATTGCAAACCACGATTAGCAGGATAAAGCTGATGCAAAGCGCCAGCACTTCTCCGATAATGTCCGACGAAACGTCAAAGGTCCATAGGATAATGCTGAACAGAAGCCAATATGCTCTTTTCAACCCCGACACCAAGGCCCAGGCTGCATCAAGAAGCCATCCAATATAGCAACCCAGACTGAAGGACATGCTTTGGTAATTGCCGGAATAAATGGCGATAACGAGATCGATGGTGGCTGCAAGCAAGATTGCTGGAGCACGGTGGAATACCCGGACGATCGCGATGGTTACACTGGCGATGCTGTGGATTACCGATGCGTTAACCAGGAGGTTGATGAAGGGCGTTGCGATCTGAGGAAATATAATAAGCAGCAAGGCCAGCAAGACCACCCAAGGTGGCAAGTGTGCGGCCATAGTTCCTCTCGCTTGGTGGCCCCGACGCGGAGTTGGCACCAATCTTGAAGTTGGGGTCGCTGACAGTGCTTAGACAAAAGTTCTCCTTGTTTAAGCTGGGTCCCTTCTCTTGTCACCGCTTTCAAAAAAGATGATTGTTTGATGGGTAAGTAGAACAGGAATAGCTAGACGACTGAACGAAGAACTGGTTCAGGTTGAAGGATAACACGACGAAGTTATATGCGTTGTTTTTGGCTGGCTGCCATGCAATCTCTGACATGGTAGTGATGCCACCGACTTCCGATGAAAGGTCTCTCTGAGACACGCCTTTGAGTAGCCCGTGACCACCAACACTCAATCACCAGCCACATTCTGTTTACTTATGGCATATGGCTGGGTTCGGGTGAAACCATTATCACCTTGGAGCTCACAGGGAGATGTACCGATCGTGTGCCCCATCAGTTCAGTATGATACTTAGCATAACCTGAAAGGCTTTCATGCCACTGGAGTAGTAGACAGCTCTGCTGTCCCAAAAAATGCAAGAAAACCTCGAGGGGCAACCCCAGTGGCTGACGGGGAGGTTGATGCGGATGAAGTAAGGCGGGCAACTGAACGAACAACCAGGTTTAGCCGTGAAGCTTCATGTTAAAACATCTTTGAGAAAAGAGACTACCTCAGTTTCAAAATTCCCATACCTTGTATGCAAGGTTCCTGCTCAGCAACCGAAGTCGAGACTCGCTTGACGCCCCCAATACTCAACATCCGCCTTAAATATTCAGTTATTAACAAGGAGGCGATTGACGGTAGTCGTCACTGTCTCCGTGACCATGGCCGTGGTGGTGATGACGGTGTGATATGGTAAGTGTTGCACTATATAGGTAAACACAGAGCCTGTCCAGGCAAGGAATTCCTTTAGCGTGTCTCTTGGCTATCATTGTCTCGCTAGGGAAAGATAAAGAGGAAGATAAGAATGATCAGTCATGGTTTTGTTGTTGTTTGTTTGCGGGTAGTCGTCAGCTCAGCACACATTAAGTTGCTCCATTATCAGGGCAAACACACGGAGGGACGGTCAAAGGAATAGCAAAGTTCAAGTTACTTGCTACAATGCCACTGGAAATCTTGGGATTTCATTGTCAACCGCTAACTAACCAATCGGATAGAAACATGTAACCACGAAAACCAATCGCCATGGCGTTGGCTCAGTGCTGCAAAGCCGTGGTATCCTCGCCCTCCGCAATCTTCTTCTCATACTCGGTAAACGTCTCAATACCCTTCGGCACGCCATTCCACTGCAGACCCTGCGCCTCCATCAGGCGACCGCGTATCTCAATGCAGCGCTGCCACGATGGCAGCGCCGCCATCTTCTCATGCCACGCCCGCACATGCGGCAGCCCCTCCCACACCTCGTCCCACGACAGCAGCATCACCTCACTAAGACGGAAGTTCCAGGGCAGCCAGGCCATATCGGCAAACGTCATCTTGTTACCCACTAGCCACTGGGCATCGGCGGGCTTGTCCGCGAGAACACGCTCGATGACGCCCAGCACGCGCCGGATCTCGTTGCAGTAGCGCTCGACGGCCGACGGGATCTTCTCATGGTGCAGGTGCTGGAACCAGCCGGCCTGGCCCCAGTACGGGCCCTGGCCGCTCATCTGGAAATGCAGCCATTGGTTGCATAGGTGGCGCTCGTGGAACGAGTCGTAGGCTAGGCGATTCTCCTTGTCGTAGACCTCGATTACGTACTGGTAGATGGCGCCCGATTCCCAGAGGGTTAGGTTGGTGTTGGGGTCCTCGATGGCCGGCGTGCGGCCGTTGGGGTTGACGTCGATGAAGGGCTTCTTTTTGACGTCGTCGAAGCGGAAGGGTTTTAGTTCGTAGTTGAGGCCGAGTTCCTCGAAAAGAAAGACGGCCTGTCCACAGGAGTCCTGTCTTAGCCTAGGCATCTAACTTGCCTTGGGGTCGGGAGTTCGAGACTCTCCCGTACGCGTACCTTCCACGGATTCGGCCCAGGGGCTGAGATTTGTAAGCAACAGTACAGGCATTGTCAGCTCTGTTGTCGAGCTGGGCGAGTTGCACTTACGAGTGACCCAGATACGAATCGGTTTGGGCGGATATGGGGCAGCCATTTCGTTGCAATTGGGGTATGATTAGTTCTTCGACGGCGAATGAAGGGCAATTCGGGTTCTGCGGGCTGTGGCTCGGTGACTGTAAGCGTCTGCCTGAATTCAATGCGGTCGTGGTTCAGTCAATGCCCTGTGTTTAGCGACGTAGCGTGACGAAGTAGTGAGAGGGAAGTTGATTCTTGAGATATTTGTTCGGGAGATGGCTTCTTGGTATTCTTGAACCATTTCTACTTCTTGGGCTGGAACTGCCGTTGCGGAGGCCGCGGAGGCCAAGTAGGTAGCAATTTCCATCCGCGGAGTTTGAGACCAACTTGAATGGTGTTGGTCCTTCCGTTTCATGCAATGCTGCAGTGCTGCCTGCAACGGATTCCAACGGCCAATCAGGCGTCCAAGCAGTCGCCAACCATCGAGTCTTGCAGCCAACAATCCGGTTTCAACCACATCTGCAGCGCATTTGAAATGAATCTTGAACTATGTCAAGATACGATCGATTGACGTTTGCTAATTCGGAGCGTCAGATACTGTGAACCATCGGTCGGAAGCTGTTTAAAGTGTCTTTTCTGCACCGCGGGAGGCTTTCCTCAGCCTAATACCTAAGGTATCTATCTATACAAGTACGCCCTAGATTCACATGGTCAAAGTCTGCTCTTTTTGTGATGTGAGGATGCCGTTGACTGGGACGCAGAATGAAAGCAGGGCATTCCAGGAGAGAGGGGAGGGGGAGAGGGAGAGGGGGGGGGGTATACTGGTGCGAAGCAGTTAGGCCGGGTTGGACTTTCCTCCGTTTGTCGGCATTGAGGTCTGAAGTGAAGACAGCAAGAGCGAAGGAGAAGTAACGTACTGATCAGCGGAAAGGGCGAACAACCTGCATGCCCTCGACCACAGTCCGGTCCTCAAGGCCAGAACTGGCTCGATTTTGTTATAGCACAGGAAGATGGCAGGCAGTTGTTCACTTTGACCATACCCGCATATGCGTTTGTAACTTCCGTGTGAGAGAACAGTCTGCAGATAACGGGCATCTAAATCCACCGCGATTTAAGTCCATGGCGTTCATTTTGGACACCACAGCAGAGTTGAACCCACGCTGTTCTCTGTAGTGCTACACAACACGCCAAAACACATCTGAAGGTTCTCTGGCTCGATCCCCAGGAAAGCCGCATTGGAATCTCAATCATTCCAATACCAACCCCTAATTAAACACAGGCTGGGCAGATCCACCTCGACATGTTCGGAAACTGCCTTGGGCCGGAGTGTGTTTATGACCTGAGCTTTTGACTCTGCTGGGCCATGGGGACCTTGGATGTAGGCTTTGATCGGCACTCTCCGAAGGTGGCTGGTTCGAGACAAGCCACTGTCACCTTGTGATCGACGTACATAGGTATGTAGACGGCAGATACCGCGATGGTGTGAAGCAATCCACCTCCTTGGTACGGAGTACGGATATGGCGAACTTAGATCTTCTGCCGCCACAAACGGCAAGGGAGTCTTCCACTAATGTGCGTAAGTACCAATGTTTCACTTCTCTTCGACGAGTCCATGGCCGAAGTCGTGCATGAGTAGACATAACTACACATACTTCGGAAGAGGCCGAGGAAATGTGGATTCCGACATTCCGTCCACTGATACGGAGTACATAGCGACTAACTTGCGAACCTGGCCTCATCAACATGCCTGGCATAGCTGACCCTAGAAAGCAGTCCAATGGGAAAAAAGTGAGCAGGATTGCGGGAGAGGTACGGACAGAGCTCACGTTCGTAGCGGCTGGAAATTGAAGTGATTTGTAATGTATGTACAGCATCTGGTACCAAGGACGTTTGGCCTGGTATTTGTGCTATGCCCAAGCGCAAAAGGATCTGTAAGTTAGATTGCACTAGGGAGATGGTGTGCGATCCGATCTTGTCAGGATCAGTCCGAGCATGCACATTCTGAGCCTGTCTGGATTCCGATCCCTGTGGTTAATTCGACTGAGGTAAGTTGAGCTAACGCGAGATGAAGTGATGTGACACACGGAGTTTTCCGATCAAAATGCGGGGTGAACCTCCCGCGCCCCACCGGGTTATTACATGTAGCTTCGTTTTCGCCTCTCCACAACGCCCTCTAACGCTGTATCACAATGAAGGTGATTGTCACGGGATCCACAGGCTTGGTCGGTAGTGCCCTGCTACGGCAATGCATTGCCGATGACAGAATTACCAAGGTGTTTGCTTTGACGCGCAAGGCGTTGCCCGACGAGGTCGCCAAAAACCCGAAAATCGCCGTCATCATCCACCAAGATTTCTCCACGTACCCGGAAGGGCTACTGAGCCAGCTCGCCGGAGCCGAAGGCTGCTTGTGGTGGGTAGAGTGATGCACTTCCACATATCTAATGCCAAGACGGCTAGCTAACCTGTCACACTCTGCACAGGGCGATCGGCGGGAGGGCCGACCAGTTTCCCAACGTTGAGACGTACAAACGAGTGCAAGTGGACTACACGCTAGCCGGCGCGAAGGCGTTTTACGAGCATCTAGCTCCTCAGCTGCCAGAGGGACGTCAGTTCCGCTTTGTCTTTTGTAGCGGAAAGTTTGCAGAGTGGGACCAGACCAAGCCCCTGAAGTTCATGGCTGATACTCGCCATGTTAAGGTAGGTTTTGCCGGAATCTGTTATCAGTGTCCGCATATGGCTGACAGCGAATTGCCATTAGGGTCAAGTTGAGCAAGGTCTCTGTGAGATTGCTGACACCGACAGGACTGGCCGCTTTGTCGTCTACTGCGCCCGGCCAAGTGGCATCCTGCCGCCCAACGCCGGTCTTCCTGCCAGGCTCGCTGGCAAGCTGTACGCTGCCATTGATGCCGACCGTCTCAGTAAAGCGTTGATCCGTATCCTGCTGGAAGGTTACAAGGACAAGATCATTGAGAATAACGTGCTTTTGGAACTTTGAGCGCTGTTTTTGCTCTCCCAAATCTCTGGTGCTCTATCTTGTCTTGGCGTTCCTAATCTTCATCTAATCGCACACTACATAGCTCGCGTGAGCTGAAACTTGGCCCAAGGAAACACCGGATGTGGTCTAGAACTAGACCTCGGAATCCTCAATCAACATTACCCCTTATCGTGCTAGAGGCCACGCAGCGTTCCCTCGACTCGGCTAGTTCCGGGAGCCCTGCTCCCCAAGCCGTACCGAAGCGGTGAGTCTGCGAGTCTGCAAGTCTGCGGACCAACCGTGACATGCGAACTAGTGGACTTCCACATATGTCATTGTTCTTGTTGGCTAACAAAGGCAAGGGACTTCAATAGATGTGCTCGTAGCGCACTTACGTACGTTAATGTATTTCCTACGCCGTGCCTCTCGGCTGCATATCCTCGCTGCATGTGATCCAAGCCTTCCACACTTAAGACATTTTTCGGCTCCTCGGCCCTTGAGCCTTCAGGGCGTACCGGCTGGTTGGTAATTGCGTTCTGGAAAGGGCGATAGGATTGATGTCTGGGGGCTGCTGTGCCCGCGGAGACTCAGCACACAAATTGCGGCGCCACACTGCATCATCAAGCCGACTGCGGCATCAACTCAGCCGGTCCGAGACCAACACAGGGTTAGGGAAGATTTGTTAATCAATCCAGTGTACAATCCTTCGTAGCTTGTCCTTAAAATGTGAGATGTGACAACTACTTACTGCCCATGCTATAGTACATGGGTTGGTTGCACTGAAACGCAGTGCACTTTGGTAGGTCGAGTTCATTGTTTACATACACGTATGTACCAAGTAATATACTGTAATTATCGTATTTACACCAGTGTAAGGGTATTACAATACAAATGACCCGCTGGTCGATCCCATCCCGCTGGTCAGGGACAATTTCGGACGTGGTGGTCCAGGAGTTCCAGCGCAATGGCCATTGGGCAGTCTCCACTGTTACCCTTGCATTTGCCCGGTCACCGTCCAATAGCGTTATCCGGAGCTTCTCCCGACCAATTGCACTGGGCTTGTGGTTGCTCACCCTGATCGAAACCAACCAACATCTTTGGTCCAAACCATCGGGACAAGGGGCCGAGCCGCAGTCTGTGGAGTCGGCTTCGCTCGTTTGGCTCAGTTTTTGCTCTTGTTGCGGCGCATTTCGAGGTCCAGGCGCGAAGTTGTTGCATTGTTGCGCAGGCCCCCACATCCCAGGAGTTGTCAGCGAAATTCCAAGCCGTGAAGCCCGGGCCCGTTGGGCCAGTTCGTTAGTGTAGATTACCCGAGCGGTGCAAGTGCGGCATGCTACTGCAGTGTTCTCGTTTGGCCGAAATCTCCTCGGTTTGCCGGCGGCAGACAGAATGCGCTTCAATTTCCATATTTGGGGTCTTAGCCCAGCTGTATCTTGGGTTCCTCGCTCACCGAACTTGGCACTGATTGGCCCTTGAACAGACGAGCAGACAGCCTGGTGCCCTGGTCTCGGTGGGCAGGTTAGCGCCCTGCTCACACTGGACGCACGGCTCTGGAAGAGGAAGAAACGACGAGTCTTGGCACAATGGTCGACAAAGAACGCCTCCTGTTCGCCTTTCTGCCATCAATTAATGGACAAATGTTCCTCTCAGCGTTAGCTGACGACCGAGAAACCTTCGCTTTGTCTCCTGACTCTCCTTTGCTCTTCCGTTTCCCTCTATATTTATCTATTACAACCACTGGAAAACCAGCGAGCTGTCAACACCAGATGATCTCCCAATCCTCGCTCTCGCGGTTGAGCACATCACTTTCCAAAACCCCGCCAGACGCTACTACAACTGAGTCTGAACATCTCGGTCACGCAAACCTTCTCCATGCATCCTGCCACTCAGTCCGCGGTCCTACAAGACCCAGACGCAGCAGTCACCAACGACTACCTGAACATGTCTCCTTTCACTAGCCGCCGAGCGGCTTCTGAGCCAGAACATGACCAAGAACCCCCGCTCATGCACTTCCCACACTGCCGCCTCTCCATCACGCCCTGCGACATGTTCCCCGCGGCGGGCGGCGGAGTTGGCAGACTGGAACAGGTCGCTCTGCCTGGTTCGCTAGTGCGCACGCTGCTCGCCCGGGTTGGGTCACTCCAACCGCAGCTCCAATTCCAGCCTAATCCTGAGGACACGGCTACAAGTACTACTACAGACTCGCCATCATCGGCCCGACACCGCCGGACGGCACAACAACCACAACCACGGACGCAACAACAGCAAATACGGATCCGCGTGGAACCCCACGCCGACGACGGCGCCGAGTGGGTCTATTCGCGCTGCCTCCTGGTCGACTTCACCGGCTTCTGCGAGGACGAGGCCGAGGCCCTGTCGGCCCAGGGCCGGCTGTGCTGCTGGGCCAGCGTGGTCCTGCATCCGGTGGTGGAGCAGGCGGGCGGTACCACCGTGACGTGGGACCTGGGGTTTGTTGTCCACCGCGTGGGTGTTAGGGATCCTGAGAGTGGGTGGTGTGAATGTTTCTGAGGCACATTTTGTTTAGTTGTTTCATTATTATTACCACATAGGTGTTTGGTTTGGTTATGGGTTGCTTTGGGTAGGGAAGGGGAAAGGCTGCTTTTTAGGGGGGTTGGGAGTTGCACTGCTTGTTGCGGGACTTGACATTTTGCTCGCAGCCGGGTTGGGATCTGGATCTGGCATTACTGTGGTCTTCGCTTGTTCCAATATTCTTCTGGGAGGGTGCGTCCTCATGTTTTACTACCTGCTATGGCTTGCCAGGTTCTTCGTCTTCTCCTGGAGCATCAATTGTCGGACTTGGAATTTGGAATATGGTGGGGTGGCAAATAGGGATGGTAGGGCTGGGGTTCACGGCGTCTTATTGACTGGTCACCTACCTAACCTGGCTAAGGCCGCATGCCTCTTGTGTAACTGTGTGGTTACACTGATGAAAATCTACACCAAAACCAGCCACATGTCCATCCACTTACTGTTGTATAAGTCGTGTAGTGGTGTTGTTACCAGACACCACTGTCTCTTCTCAGTCTATAGTTTACAGTACAGACCTGTACCCTTCAGTTGATCGCTGGGTGAACCTGCGGTACTTGAACCTCAGCGCTTGCTTGCCTAATCTGTCCGCTACACTACTTGTGCTACCAAAACTCCCTTGGAAAGGTTCAAGATGTGCTGCTGGTAACAAGGTGGCGCCAGGCTCAGCCACAGCTGACACGCTGAGGGGATCAACTAAATAGTAAGTGTCCGTATGTATAGTACACATAGTACACATAGTACCATACACATAGACTATTAGCTCCGAGACTGAAGCTGTATCTACGGAGTACTCCGGATTACAATGCATCTTCCCTGGCCAGCCTTGGTATTCGTTCCAAGGAACTGGATCAGTGACCCCCACCTCAGCCGTATACAGCACGTACTTTGAACCCGGAGCGATGGAAGCGATGTGGCGCGATCGAGGGCCCAGAATGCCAGTTTCTCTGGCACGATGTGGCGTATCTCAATACTATCGGACTTTGGCAAGCCACACCATCATGCAGACCAATATCTAGTTGAATGAGGGAGAGAGAGTGGGGGCATCCAATGTCCTCACATACTCGGGTACGATACCCTCAGGATCCCGAGATCCCTCGTGAAACCGGCGACGTGCAGTGATGTATCATGTGGCTGGGTTAAAGGTTTAGGTAGGTGCTTAAGCCTCATTCGTGTTAGTTTCGTCCGTGACTCGGCGGAACCTCAGCAGCTTGACCCCCAAAACCCCATGCAGGTACGGAGTACATGAACAAGTACCTCTTTACTACTGTGTGCTTGAATCGGCGATAAGAAGGCAGCTTAAAGCCTTAAAGCATGGCCGAAACGTGTGGACGTACATGAAATACAGTATGTGGAGTGCTCTAGAGAAAGAGGGCTCAGATTCCATGAATGCCTGTGGCTGGATTTCAGGGGCGCTCATTCCGAGTCCGATCTCGCCGTCATGCAGTTAGCATTCAGCTCTTCCAAGTACTGAAACTTGTCTGTTTGTGTCGTCATCCCGCTAAACCTCAGATCAGATCGACTTAAGATCGCCAAAAAGCTGGTACTTACAAAGTCATTCTTCATGTCAATTGCATACTAGTTGCTCGTATTCTCTCGAGCCTCGGTCTAAACCCCAGGTTTGATCCCTTAGCGATACAATGACGCACCAAAGACTACATGTACGTGCAGGATAATGGACCATAACACCCTAGATTCTAAGCAACGGCCTTCCTTTCTATTCTAGGGGCGAATTAAAGCGTATTTCATCCTCCGTTTGAACCGTTTCTTCAACCGTAAACATCCCATGCTCACGTCTGTTTCCCTTCAGCTGCTCTAGTTCCGCCTTGATTCTCCTGTTGTCGCTTTCCAGGAATTCGAGTACCCGGGTAGTTTCGGTGAGCACATCGACCTTGCTCATCTGTCGGTGCTGCTTCCTCCACGTCTGCCGTGAGCCATCGCCTGTGCCCTCCATGATGTCGGGAAGAGCGTCGAGCAACTGCTGGAAGCTTCTCTGTAGCCGCTGACGGTACTCCTTTTCCGCGATGTTGTGAGTCGTCCTAGCCCTGTGATGCTCGGGGGTCTCGCCTGGCTTCGGCGGTGGGTCGCTGCGCTTGGACCTGCGTGTCGCAGTCCGCAAGCTCGGGGTAGATGATGCGGTCTCGATCGAGCTTTGTGCAGGCGAGACCCTCCTTCTCCCTCTTTTCCCCAGTTTTGACGATGCTTGCCGACTTGAGGGGCGCTGTCGGGCTTTCGCTGGCGCATTTGCTTTGAACGGTATTGGATTCGGCGCGGGAGGGCTCGACTTTGCTGCTGTGCGCTGGGGACGATAAGGCTGAAGGATTGTGTCATGCTTCATTCCCTCAATGATCGGAGTTTGACTGCGGTCTGCCCACGGTGGGGAACGGAAGCCTTTCGAAACACCCGCTCGGGCCATGGGACCACTTGGGAAGTTGGGGAAAACGTTCTTGAACTGCAAGTTGGGGATGGCCAAGTCGGAGGCTGAGTTGAGGCCTGCGTCGAAAGTTGACAGCGCGCTTGTGGTCTCTCCAGAGGAAACAATTGTATTTGGACTCTCGTCAATCAGTATGTTGACCGTGCCATCACCTGCGAGTGGGCTTATAGGACTGATCGGTGACCAATGATCCTGGGCCGGCCCGATGACATGCTGTAGTACTCTCGGCGGTGTCGCTGTTACCGTATCTGTAAGTGCAGGACTTGGGTATCCGCCTGGAAAGACGGACATCTGGTGCTGTGCATACGGGCTCTCAGCGTGCGCAAGATAGCCAGGGTTTCCTTCACAGTCCCAATTCAGATTCTGGCCGTCGAAAACTGCTGAAGTATTAGGGACCGGGGAGAATAAGTATTCCTGGAAATCCTTGGCTTCCTGAGAAATCGTGTCAGCGCTACATTCAACAACATCAACGAATAGTTGAGGACAGAGAAGTAAGCAATGCTTTGCGTGCCTGGAACGGACCATGGGACAGCCAGTTCCCGGCTTGGTTCATCCTGTTCTATGTTGGTGTTGGGTGAGCCTGCGTGGGGAGTTTGTGGTCTTGAAAAGACGATGCTCGACTTGAAGTCTTGAGGCCGAATCTGGGATATACGGTGGCGGGGTGTCTAGAACAGGAGCTTGTGTCCACGGTCTTGGATTGACTGGGGACGGGATTTCTTGACTGTAAGAGGAAACAAGGTACGTAAGTTAAACAAGAAGATTCTTCCAAAACTTGCGCGTTGTATGTGGGCGTTCCTGCTAATATGAACCAAGGGGATATCGTACTTGTTGTGGTTCAAGTGCTAGCAAAGGTTGCTTGGCCCAGCTGCTCGTTTAATTCACGTGCCGGTGGCCCCCAACGGGCTGAGGGCTTGCACCCGTTGTGACAGGACATGATCATCGGCGAAGTCATGTACATATAGTACAGTAAGTTCGCACATGGCCCCGACTTGTCGTGTGCCAAGGTAGTACGACATATTGCTTGTAACCAGGTAGGCTGACCGGTGAGATGGTGTCCGGCAAGGCTTGTGGCAAGGCGCCGATGTGTGAGACTACATAGGTAGTTAGTGTATGTCGCAACTCTACGAAGTACGGAGTACCTCCGGAGAGCCAGTCATAATAACGGCGAACGTTCCGGCCGACGATCTCATGTCCCCGTAGGCACCAGAGGGCTCTACACCTAAGGTACGGATGAGTCTCTGGGGAAGCAGTAGTGTAGACAGCGGCCGGCCAATCTAAGCGGTTCATTGCGGCCCGCGTGGAGCAATCGGGGGCCGTCCCTGTTCCGGGGGGGGGGCGAGTGCTGGGGACTTGGCGTTTCCATATTCGCTGGGTACCAACAAGTAATTACCTCCGTACCGCACATATGTGTATGTTATGCTTCGAGAGGGCGAAGAGTGTGAGAGTAGCCTCGTACTGTTGGTGAGGCCCGTCAACCAACAAGACTTGGGGAATTCACGGAGTCACCGTCTTACCGGTACCCAGTGGCTTTTTGTCGAGGGTCGACGTCAGGCCGGGCTTTCCCCCAGCCCGGTACTAAACCGATCTCTGCATGAAAGCGGCCTGCTTTGTCAATCTTCTCATTACAAGTGTGGGCATGGCGGTATGGAGGCTTCGAGCCTTGTACAATACAGTACATATAGTACTCTTCCTTCTGTTCAACGATGTTGTGGTCGTTTCTCTCCAGGTCCGGTGAGATCTCCAATGCCAGCCCGGTGATGTTGGCTCGAACTCTGCGGCGATCCCTGGCGTTAGATGGCAAGGAGACTAAAGCCAAGCCACGAAGCCTGAATTAGAAAACTTGCCATACCCAGGATGGGGGTGGCTTGCGAGAAAGCTCAGACATCTGCATGGGGCCCTGGCCCCAGCCCTGTCCTCCAGGCTGCTTTTGGCTTGTTGATCGCCCTGTTGCGATCTCAACCCAAACATTGGCGCATGAAACCTTACTTGTATGGAACTATGTAACTTATGTAAGTACGGAGTAGTGTAAGGTAGGTAATCAATTTAAACAGAAACATACCAGAGCTTTGTGACATGAATATTGGATACGCGTACGAAGTACTCGTATCCGAATCCGTAGATCAGAATCATCAGATCACTCAGCCCAGACGACTGCTTTGCCCTAAAACAATACCGCATTCCCCTATTGGTGAAGAGGTCTAGGAAGATCAGATTATAGCTCGAGGCGTGTTACACCTTCAATGTCATTTTCGTTGTGAAACATCAACATCTGCGGGCCGTCGAATCAGCGTATTCGGATGACACTCCGCGGCTCTGTTCGGTAGCACGGCAGGTGGCAGCTTCGGCCCGCGACCGAGCCGTTCAGCCGTTCCCGTCCCAAAATCCCGGTTGCAAACTTGGACCCTTCTGCAAATTCGTGTGGATACACAACCAGTGCGCCCAAGTCGTCAGCGGCTTGATGGCGTGAAGACTGGTGGGACAGAAGGGGGTTTGTTGTTTTTTGAGTGTATTTGTTTATGCTCACCACTTCTGTCTCGGGATCGAGAGAAAGACTGATGCTAAGGGAGCACTCTTGTCCAGTTCCAGCCCGGCCCGGAATGTCGGGATAACCGGCAACCGAAGAGCTGAGGTGTTCGGGTCTTGGGTTGTTTTTTAGTGCAAGCGAAGTCGGATGCTGACTGCGGAATAAGCAACATGCCAAACTTTCAGCCTCAGGAAAGAGCTGTGTCAGGGAGCTTCTTTCACACCTTTGCTACCTTATCACCGGCAGGCACAAGCCAGCCAGTTCACCCCGCCAGGGCTTACGCGTGGGTCTTGACCTTCCGGCCGCCGCGGGATGAGGAGGAAAGAGGAGCTGCCGCGATTTAACCCTGCGTTACTGGACAGTGATGATTGAGGAAGGAAGCAGAGACTTCTTTTGCTGCAAAGTGATACAGAGCGAACAGACTTCATTAGCATCCCGGTTGTCATATCAGCATTTGATCCCTAATCCCCTGAGTCCCCACGGCAGTCAAGTAAGGTGCACCGATCAAGCCGCAGAATCTCTCGAGTTGAGTAGATCCCGACCGCACCCGGAAGATGCCTCGTGATCTCAAATTGCCCACTTTCCGTATCCCACGATGCCATAAAACTCAGCGTGAAAATGCATGACCGAAGACAGCCTGTTAACCGTGGAAATCGAGAATAGAAGGTAAACGGCCGGACCTAGAATAAGAGGAAAAAGGGCAAAGAAGACGCTCAGTTAGTCCGGTAAGCATCGTACACAATCTCTGCACCCCGGCGACATCCGCTTCCAATCCACAGACCCGTATTGAGATCCTGGTACCGCTCGTCGCCCGTCTCGAGTTCCATAGTCACTCGGAGCTGGTAGCGGTGGGCAGCGACATTATCCGCAGCCACCGGATCCTGCAGCCTCTCCATGACATCACGGTCGCCGGTCCACCAGCCTTTGATCTTGCAGATGATAACGGCGGGATGCTCATCGCTGGTCTGCATGAGGTACCGGGCGTCGATCTGCGTCGCGGTGTCCTTTACCATAATCTGGGTGTCTTGACCGCCCGGCTGTGGAGGAATCTGTCAGTCCATCTCAATTTGTCAACGAGAAACCATACAGGAATGGGATTGCTCACCAGAAGGACGCCTTTGCCCCAGCGACCGGCCCACTGGCCACCGACGCACGAGATCCAGCTCTGCCGGCCATTGTTGCCGGCGCCTCCGCCTACGGTAATCTTCGGCTTGACCCTGATGCTCATGCGGAAGTCGAGATTAAGTGCCGGGGCGGGAATAGCCAACGAGCTCGCAACATCATCCTCGTCGAACTGATGGCGGAGGTGGTTGGCAGGGATCTTTTCCTTGAGCACCGGCTGGTAGCCGGGGCACACCAGCAGATGCTCCCGCTGGCGAGACGTGTTCTTTGCGCGAACTTGGTTGCAGTAAATGCAGCGCGCAGAGATGCACTTGTCGTCCTCCTTGGCCTTGAACTCGACGAAAGCAGCATGGACGTCGCGCAGAGGAATCTCGGGCATGTTAGACCCGGATGACTGCTTGGTCTTCTGCTTCTTTGGTGCAGGCGTTCCGTCCGGTCCCAGCGACGGGCGACCCTGGTCCTGGTTTGGCGATGCATTGATGCGCGGATTTGGCATGAAGCTCAGGGTGGTGTGCTGGCCCGAGACATCATCGGGCGCGTAGGATCCATCCGGAGCTGGACCGCCGGCTGCTACTGCTGACGCCTGGAGGGCAACATCGGGATGGGCGTTGAGGTAGCCGGTGCACTGAAGAAGGTGCTGCTTCTGGCGGGTGGTGTTTTTCGCCCGAACCTGCTGGCAGTAGATGCATTGGACGGACATGCACTTGTCATCCTCTGTGTGTAGTGAGAAGAAACAATAACGTCAGCGGGATTCATTGCGAAAGGTAATGTACTGTCAATACGCTTATCGGCGTACTACTTACGTCCAGCGCGAAATTCCACGAACGCCGCGTGTACATCTTGGTCGACGTGACGGGGCATGGTTGATCGACTGCCCGCTTCAGCGGGGATCGGGTATCGTCAAATACCGAAATCAGTGACGCAGACGAGTACCTTTCAGCGCGAGCAGAGCGACAGCGCCTGTTTGCGAAGGTTGTTGGTTTCTTTGGACAAAGAGACGCGTTGTGGAATGAAATTTTGGAAATAACGTTAACGTATCGTAAGAATCTGGTGGTTGGGGTGGAGTCGTACTTCGTACGTTAAACGCTCATGTCACGTGCCAGGTGCCCCACCGAGGTGCCTGCTGCCTGCCAAATTTGGCCTGTGAGGTTGGATCTTCTTTCAGACGGAGATTCAGCGACAAATACTCGAAACGTACCTCCGTACAATATCTATTTCAATCCAACTCAGGTATTCTGCTGTCACTACAGGTGTGTCACATCGAATTCAGTTTGTTACTAAGGTAGCTTTTACCTCTGGGCTAACAGGAGCTTTTGACAAGGAGTTAGGTATTGGTACATCTGGGATTTGGTCGACATCTGGCGCAGAACCCGGTGAACCAAACACTGTTTTGAAGCAACTGAATGTCTTCGACTCCATCTATACCTGATTGAGCGGAATATCAAACGAGAGAGCATCGCGAAAACCGTTTGGTTAGCCATTTTCGCATTCATGGCCTTTGATACAGTTGCATGATGGCGCTGAAGGTGGCAAAAGTGACATGAGCAAATGGGTCAGCTGCAAAAAGATGAACTAGCTCCTCCGGGAAGGCTCGAACTTCCAACCTCCTGATTAACAGTCAGACGCGCTAGCCAATTGCGCCACAGAGGACGTTTGTCACGTGTCAGCAACTGCCAAACGTTTTCTACAAGGATGGGATGACTTGCTCCTTCCGCTGGAATTGAGCCAAACCTCTCATTGAACGGTACAAATGGATTTACTCGCAACATATGATTTCAATTTCAAGACTTAACAAGTCACGTTATCAGTAATTCGCATCTTTTAGAGTGACACTGAACTCTTCCATTGCAAGTACCTAGTGGGAAGAATTCTGGCGTCAATTTTAGGTTATTGTTGGCTGGCCACAGCAATGATGTTGACATGATGAGTCATTCACCAATCATCATTCGCAAATCGACCCCTTTTTGAACTACGTACTTCGTCATCGCGTCACATATCAAGGTGCCCCTCGAAGTTGGGGAATGCAACGGCAACCGTCCATAATGACTTTTTGCTTCTCGATGCACATCTGGAAGATGGTATTAACACTGATTGCAGGCTGAAATTGCGCGCCGATGACACCCATCAGGTCTCAACAGTGGACTTGTTACGGCATGGCTTGGGCGAAATCGATGCAAGAACCGTCAAGTCGTTCGCAAACACGAGCCTAGACAGCCGCCTGTGCGAGGAAGGGGGAAACTCTCATACCAATGCCCAAGAGCTGAAGACTCTTTGGACCACTTAGCAGGGTCTGGTTCGATGACCATGGCACTAGGGTAGAGGGAGACCGCAGCCTGCTTCACACCGCGACATACTTCAGCGCGAAAATATCCAGGTCGTCGCGATTCGCGATGGCGAAACATTTTGGTGTTGGTCAATCACAAAATCGGCGCGAGGGGCGAGCATTGGGTATCCACACGAGTCCCGTCGTGGGCTCAGGTACACTATTGCCCTTGCCCCCTGACTGCAGCCCTACGTTCCAGTTATAAGTGCCATTCCCACGCATTCCTCGAGCGCGATTCTCGCAGCCCCGTGAAGCGCTGTTACGGGGAATACCTAGGACGCCTTGCCGTCCAGCCAGACAGCCTGACAGACCGGCCGAACCACTGCTAATCTGCTCATGAATCTTTCTCTGGTATTTTCACCAGACTTGTCAGTCTCCTAGTTTTTCGGAACGCGAGTGTCATATGTTGGCTTCCTTATCAGTTGCGAAAAGTTTTTTTCGCGGTTAACTTCAAGACGCGACGCCGAGAAAGTATCAACAACAGTCTGGCCGTCCCACTTAAGTATCCCCACTAATCCAGGATATGCGTGTATGCTAAGCAGAGCTTGGCTGTATGACGTCTTCTCTGGGGAGGATATAAATCTAGCCCCTGGCCGAGCATGCAGTTCAGGGGCTCCACTGTCGCCACTTATAGGGCACATCCGAACACTTAAGACGTGTTGGCCAATGAACCTTAATACAAGACCCAGATGCCCTGCGCCAATGGAAGTTGGGTTCGCTATCGGTTCATTCGCGAGCGGCGTCATCGACGATCACGCAGGAGTATAAAACATCTTCGCTTATAGAGGTGACTGACGAGTCCCGAGCTATGGCATTATCGATCGACGTCTCACTTAAACTTATAAGTCCTCAGCGCTCGCCTTTATCTACACTGCTTGGGCTGAACATTGGTGTCAAGTAGCACGCTGGGGCATTGGTCCTTTTCCATGTCATTATTACCCTCATGTTCTCGGCACCCACTGCTTCATTAAACGGGTGTGATCTGTATTGTCATCTGTAGAAGGTATAGCTGGAAAAGATGCAGGGTGAAGTTCCCGCTCCTAGGAACCAGACAAACGACAAGATGGCGTCCCTCGACCGAGCACAAGGGCCAAGAGCTGAAGAAGCGGCCACTGTTACCGAAAGAAGAGCACCCACCATGGAACTCCATCGCCCGCCGTCGCCCACGCTACCGACTATCATGGAGAAGGAAGGGAAAGCGCCTCAAGGGGCCGCAGATCAACATACCAGACAGGACTATAAGCTTGTGACCTTTGCAGAAGGCGACCCAGAAAACCCAAAGAATTGGTCCCAGGCTTTCAAGTGGTACAGCACCATGGTTGTCGCGCTCACCTGCTTCGTCGTTGCCTTTTGCTCCAGTGTCATCACCGCCGATATAGACAGTGTCGCAAGGGAGTTTAATGTCAGCCATGAGGTCGCACTCGTGACCATTACTGTTTTTGTTGTCGGGTTTGGTGTCGGTGAGTTTCAGTTCAGTTTGCGCCGCCAGCTTCCCTTTCTCTCGTGATGGGACCAGACACCGGCTGACTTTGTGACCCCTTGAGGCCCCATGATATTCGCTCCACTTTCTGAAGTCTATGGGAGGCGTATCATCTAGTAAGACCGCCCCTTTCCCCCTGAGTCTATTCAAGCATCAGATTATGTGTCTATGGCCTGGTATGTTGACAGCGGTAACCAGTGGCTCGACTCTTCTGCTGGCAGTCATCTTCATCATCCCCTGTGCCGTTTCCAAGAACATCGGCACCCTTATTGTGTGCAGAGCCATAGACGGCATTGCCTTCTCGGCGCCCATGACCCTCGTGGGAGGCACGCTTGCTGACCTCTGGCGCAACGAGGAACGCGGCGTGCCCATGGCCGCTTTCTCTGCTGCCCCATTCATCGGTCCTGCCAGTATGTCTCTCTCTGACCCCTTTTAGCAAGGTTGTCACGATTTTTGCCCCCGGTTCAGTTACTAACTTCTACGCAGTCGGTCCGCTGATTGGCGGTTTTCTGTGCGAAGCTGGCTGGCGATGGCTGTACTGGATCCAGCTCATCTTCGCTGCCATCGTCTGGGTCCTCATCACCTTCACCGTTCCCGAGACATACGCCCCAACCATCCTTGCGCGCCGAGCCAAGAAACTACGCCAGCAAACCGGCGACCGCGGCCATGTGACCGAGGCCGAACTCGACGGCAGACCCTTTGGCGAACGGGTGCGCGTGTTTCTGATCCGGCCTTTCCAGCTCCTGTTCCGCGAGATGATTGTCCTGCTCATCAGCCTCTACATGTCGGTGCTCTACGGGCTCTTGTACATGTTCTTCATCGCATACCCCATCATCTACGAGGCCAGGAAGGGCTACTCAGCCGGCATTACGGGCCTCATGTTCATCCCCGTTGCGGTTGGCGTCATTCTCTCCGCCACATGCGCCCCCCTGGTCAACAAGCATTACCTGACGCAGGTGGCCAAGTACAACGGCAAGCCGCCGGCCGAAATCCGCCTCATCCCCATGATGATCAGCTGCTGGTTCATCCCTATCGGTCTCTTCATCTTTGCCTGGACCTCGTACAAGGATCTGACATGGGTGGGACCCTGCCTGGGCGGGTTCCCCGTGGGTTTCGGCTTCATCTTCCTCTATAACTCGGCCAATAACTACCTGGTCGATTCGTACCAGCACCAGGCAGCGTCGGCGCTGGCTGCAAAGACGTTTATCCGCTCCTTCTGGGGTGCGGGAGTGGTCCTCTTTACGGAGCAAATGTACGACCGCATGGGCGACCAGTGGGCGTCGTGCTTTCTGGCTTTTCTCAGCCTTGCGTGCTGTGCCATCCCTTTCGGGTTTTGGCGATACGGCGCACGTATCAGGCAGAAGAGCAGGTATGCCTACGGCGGGGACGACGGCCATGAGGCTGACGTCTCGGCGTCGGCATCGGACTTGGAGAGCCAGAAGGCGAAGTCTGTCGATGTGGACGCGCGGCTGCATCATGACTTGGAGGATCTCATGCGCGCCAGGAGCTACGTGAGCAATCCGTGAGTGGACGCAAACTTTTGCAAGGGATGGTTGCCACGAAGGCGTTCCAATTCAGGTTGTCTCGTCCTCATCTTTTTGGTCATGCTCAAAAGGGGGTGCGGCATGCAGTTGAAGAGGGGTGATAGACGGTCTCACGGTGCTGGCAGAGCCGCGTCTCTCTGTACTCTCACCGTTGATTCATTGCTCGGTGCTCAGGGCATGGTATGGAGTCAAAAGCCTCGGATTCTTTCAAGTCGGATTGGATTGCATATAATAGGGGCAGGATGACTAGAATTGTTTAAATTTGCGTTAGATACCAGATGATAGGTTAAGAAAGCAAAAGTGTCTTAGACCAGAATCCGGAGACGGAAAGCCCCTACAGTTGGTACAGTGGTATCTTCATGGCAGAATGAGACGTGTACTTTATTTATCAAGCCATTGCTTAGTGAAGAGATTTAGAGAGCGATGGGATGGTTTGTAAAGCATGACTGCATTGTTGAATTAAATATCTGGGCACTGGTAACTTAAACATGCCCGGCTCTGGGACTTTTCGCTGCGCTGCACCCATCCACGCTGATGCCAACCCCTCTTAATCTTTTCCATCCCTCTCTATCATCACAAGAAAATGCCTTCCAGATTCACGAGCCCCTTTAGCACCGCCTCCATTCAATATCCCAGTTCTCCGTGTTCGCCTCAAAGTATGCCTTGCTATCCCCGCTCAGGGCACCGCGGAAGTTGACGTTCAGAATGCCAGTGTAGCCGTCGCTGCCAGTGCACTGCGACCACACCTTGTTGTTGCCGGCGGTGCTCACAAGAGTTACGTCCTGATGAATAGTCGATCCCCCGTTGTTCTCAATAGATCCGCGGAGGGTGCCCTGTTCGTCAGGCCACTTGTGTCAGCACTGCATTCAGCCAGGTTAAAAGCCCTAAGAGAGTGGAAGACCCGGCAAACTCACCGTGTTGCCGGCGTTCTGGCTGAAGTACACGGTAGTGAAGTGGGTTAATTGGGTTCCGGGGCCGAGAGAAACGAAGCCCTTGACCTGATTGCGGCTCAATGCAAACTGCCAACCGCTGCCGACCCCAGTCGCCTGGAGGTGCACCTCGCAGTTGAGCGTCTGGTTGCCGCCGGGCAGGGCCATGCAGAAGTTGTCGTATGTGAATGTTGCGTCGTTGAGGCCGCCCGAGTGCCGGGGATCTCTTAGGCAGCCGTTACCCGAGTAGGTGATGCTGGTGATCCGGGGCTGCACCGAGGGCCCTGAGGCTTCTGCGGCGTCGGGGGTAGGGGCAGCAAGCGATGGCAATGCCACGGCCAGCAGGACTGTGAGATGCGAGAGAATGCCCATTTTCGGTTATTGTGAGGTGTAGATGAGGCTTTCTAGGTGATTGCCTGACTAATGAGCTGAACCGGGAATGTTGAACTGGCGGGACGCGGTGGAGATTGATGGCATCGCCAGCTACCCGGTTTTCGACGGTCGCCAGCCGTTCTTTTATAAGTCGATATGGGCCAGGAGCCCGATGCCGTCACCGAAAATTTCCAACAGAGCTTCATGGCCGCTTCTGTTTGCCACCCTTGTTGTTGAGCCAAAATGTCTGGTTGTCAAAGAGTCTGGGTGCGGAGCTTTACCATTTATCCAAATTGCAGCCCGCCGAATCCGACTGCCCGGATTGGCAAGGACTGAAGATTAAATTAAGGTCCAAAAATAGGACATGCGTAGATTTCCAGCATATTTGACGCTAAATCCTCTGGGTCTGGGTCGAGCGCTTCGAAAGGGGGCGAGAGCGCGGAGGATGGACCGGGAGAGGAAGGGGCCAACCTGGGACTTAATACTTGACGGTTTCCAGTTGCATATTGGTTTGCTGAAGTGGTAGCCAATCTCGGCGTATATTTTCCAATGCATCCTCAACAGCATACTCACCTTTTGCACGTTGTCACATCTCTGTGCTCAGTTGCCCTTGCTTTCATCGGCGCCGGGGTTGCGTTGGCCCAACTTTGCCCCTGGCTTGGGCACCCTCGATGCCACCCATGTCCCATAGCGACCGGCAATGCATCGGGGGGTAGACAGTTGGCCCCTAAACTCCTGAAAACAGCATGCCTGCCGAATGGAAGATGCGGAGTTCATCTCCGTTTTCTTATTGTCCAGATGCGACGTGATATCGCTATCGGCCTCATTATGGAGGGCAAGGCGCCGACAGAGCCGCCATTGCAAGCTCATAGCCTGCAGTCAGGTACACATTTGATCCGTCAACTGATTCGTACTGATCTTGTAAGCTTAAAGTTCCGTCTCAGAGTGCAGATTCGGTTACCTGCAGATAACTTATAACTAATTGCCATGCGACTCCTAGGTAGGACTGCATGTGACATGTTGAAAATCCCTGGGTTCGATGCTCCTATTTATGGCAGCTTAATATCCTTCTGTCGATAGGGATTGGAATCGTTCATGCCGATGAGCTCGACATCGGGCATTCTCGTACCGTCACCGGGAATTACTAGTAGCCTCGCCTCCAGGCCACTTGCCGTTGATGTGGACAGATGTCTATTGTACACCTTTCCCTTCCTGTAGAATCCGGCTCTCACTTTGATGAAAGACTGACTTCAAGTCCTGGACATGGATCGCCTCTTCAAGCAGGACAGGACATCGGCGACAGAAGTGTGTTCGAGCTCATGGTGGTTTCAAGTCCATGATGTTGCTTGGCGAGTTCAACGTCCCGGTGGGTTGGAAATCGAAGGGTAACTGTCACTGTTCCGCCTTGATTGCCTACCTAACCAGACGACGAGTCTTGGATAGTGTGGCTGGTACTGGATGAAGGGTTTGTTGCAACCCTCGCGCCGCCCCTTCGTTGGGCCAAGCTTTTAGACCCAGGGGAAGCATATCGGACCGGAGAGCCATGGTAGGAATGGTCTAACGACCGCTGTCAAATGTTGTAAGCATTACTAAGTAACCTGAATGCAGCATCAGGTACCTTACCCTTCTGATTTTCTGCCGGACTTCTTGCCACAGTTATTGTCACTGCCAATGCCAGGCTTCTTCACCACGGTCAGCTCGGGAATACTGGGAGAGTCCATGACTGTTTGTCTCTCCGGATCAAGGTAACCGGAAAATACCGCCGAACTATGAGAGACCGGTAAACGAGCACAGCTGAGAGCCGGTATAGTAGCACTTTTGACGGAGAAACCACGAACAGGAACCAGCCGGATAGCGTGGGCAGCAACGCAAAACTTTTGAAAGGAAATCTATCTCGTAAGCTGTGAGGGCGGTTTCCTATGAAATTCAACAAAGGCCAGAAGATAAACTGGAAGCTAGCAAAAGTCTATTCGAGGGGCGAAAAGGAAGTGACACGATCAGAATCGGACACCCTGTTAATGGGAGCCACAACGGCGACTGCGCCGAGCAAGTCTGCTCTCGTTCCTCACACAAGAGATCAAGGTACTTAGCTTGACTAAGGGGCAATTGTGACGAACACAAATCCATACTACTTCGTACGAGGTCTGCTGTTGGCTGAACACTCTGTTCTGATCACCTCAGAAATTTCGGTCGGATGGATGGTGAGCTTCTGGCTCCGGACATCTGTGAGCTTGCATGAAGCACAGTAGCAGCTTCCCAGGTGGATTACCTTATTGTTAGTGGAGGAGGCGGCGACCTCGTGCAGGCACGATCGTGTGGGCCACATACTTAGGTACGTAGGTACCTTACTTGTTACTTTCCCATTTGAATCTAGCGTGTAAGGTAGGTAGGTCAGTACCATAGCGCGCTGGGGGTGGTAGTGCAAAATGATTACCGTCAGTATCTTGGGACTGGAAAATTGTTTTCACAGCAAGTCGATCGGGCTAGGATCATACAGGCCAAAATCTTTCAAGAAAAAATGGTCATACAGCCGGATGACCATTTTCCATTCATGAGTATTTTGGAAATTGAAGATATCCCTTAGTTAAATCCATCCTATAACGTTAGGTAGATGACTATCTTCAAGTGGAAACCATTTTCAGTAGATAACTATTTTGAAAGGGGGGAAGTGTCTTAGTACTAGGTAGGTAGGAGAAAAATATATATAACGTTATTACTTCTTTCCTTCCTACTTATCATTTTCTCTTTTCCTACTTAGGACTTTGAACTTTTTTTTTCTCTTTTTCTACTTTGAACTATTCTACCTTGGAATTTTCTACTTTGAACTTTACAAGGAAAAATTGAACTATAGTATGATTCAAACACATGACCTCTCGGTTATCTATCTACAATTTATCCATTATACTACACTACAACTTTGACATTTCTTTCATTTTCATAACCTATATACTCCATTCAGTTCTCCAGGTGCAGTACCAGGGCCTTGTGCAGAGGTCACAGTGCCCAGGGCCTTGCGTAGAGGATACGGTACTTACAAGCCCAGCAGTCAGGCCCGGGGTCTTACAGCCAGAAGATGGATTCATTTGAAAATAGCTACAGTCAGTATTTCAGGAAGGAAGGTCTTGTCTGTCGAACTTGCCCTTCGAGTGATATGACTGTGTTGGTTCCATGAATATTACAGTGGTTCTTTTCCTAATTGAACATGGGGTTCGCACGGCCAAAGCATCTTGGTACTGAAAAATACTGACAGTGACCATTTTGCACTACCCCCCCAGCGCGCTATGGTAGTCACTGTTACTCGGGGTTATATTACCTACCTAAGAACGGGATGAGTTAGAGATCAAGAGCCGTGAATATTTGTCCAGTCCCGGCCCATTGTCTTGACAGAGAATAAGATGGTTCCGTATATCTTTGAGGTGGATACATAAACCACGCTTTGCCGATGCTTTCCTGTACGGCTAGGATGAGATCGAGCAAATCCCAGCTTACTTACCTCCGCCAGTGAATACCTGTTGTGTAGTATTGACCCTTTACGTACGGATACCTTGAACAGAACAGGGGAAGCTACCCAAAACTGCTTGATCTCACCCCTGAACCACCCTGAAGTCCTGAACTCCATCTTTGCACTGAGCAAATCCGCTGATAGCTCACAACTACCCTCCTTTCGTCTTGAACTTGCCATGCTCAACCTAGGTATAGACAAGGTAGGTACAATACATACCAAATATATGTTTTATACGAGCTGTCTGAACGGTACTCGGCCTTGAGCTCGGCTACTGCAATTCTCAACAGATGGAAGCTTCTGAACCCAGGATCGCCAAAGAGTGTGTTATGATCATCATAAAGAACTTTTGCCTCACCAGTGCCAGACCATTGAACAAAAACTTGAAACTTGGTATCACATCAGAACCTGCCTTCCGGGACCTAAACCCATCCCTCAACAAGTGCCTGTCCACCAGGCGCCTAAACTCCTTAACCAAGCAGTAAAGACCGTAACGCACCCCGTCCCACTTTTCCCAAGCCAACGCCATCATACGAGGCATCAAATAATAGCTCCAAACCTCCCCAAGTTCCAGGACTCCTAAAGCGGTTCCAGCCCGCATCCAACCGACGCTCACTTGTCCGTTTAGTTGTCAATATCACAGGGAACCGTTACCGGGACCCCCACAACTACTACTACTAGTACTCGTCCCCACGGTCACCGTCACCCCATCAAGCTCCATACCGTCCTTCTCCTTCCCCACGTCAAGTGATTGCCGCTGCAAGCCCTGCGCCTCCAGTCCCGGGTTTCTCGAGCAGTAGTATTCCTCGATGCGCACGGAGCGGGTGACTTGTATTGCCAGCTTGCGATGGGCCCTGGGGGGCGGGCTCAGCGAGCCGAGTGGCATCTCTTCAGAGTCCCCGAGTCCCTCGTTTGTGCTCAGTCTCTGTGCTTCCACGTCGCGGTCACGAACATGGTCGCGGTCATGGTGGAGGTGGTCGTCGTCAAAATCCAGATCCATGTCCAGATCCCCCGGCTTGAGGATTCCGTACTCGGCCGTGTGCCGGTTCCCTATCCCACCGCTGCCGCCACTGCCCCGGCGCTTCTCAAAGTCATATCCTAGTGGAAAAGTTCCGGTGTTACCCTTAAATGCGGAGCAGTTTGACCCGCGGCGGCCGGGGCTCGTTGTCGGCGATAGTGGCGGGAAGGAGTGTGGTGGGCCAAGCGAGCCCCTGCGGTGGGTGTTGTTGTGGTTGCTGGCCATGGGTGGGGTGAACCAGTGCGAGCTCTGGGTGCCGGAGCCAGAGCCTCTGCCGGGGGAGAGTACGCGCGGAAAGGCGCGCTGGATGAGCGGCTTGAGGGTCATGATACATGCGCATGTAATGGCTGTGTTGACTTCGATCGAGGTCCAGAAGAGGGTGTTGGCGCCGGTGTAGGTGGTGTCGAAACCCGGCTTCCTGGTTACGTCGATGAGGGTGACCAGCCGGATGATGGAGACTAGGCACACGCTAAAAAAGGGGAAGCGGGTTAGGTGAGAATACGAGACACGGGAAGAGGGAGAGTGACTTACAAGAAGCCTAGGACGAATACGCCGAGAAGGGCGTACTTTTGTCGTGGGGGAAGTTTTAATGAGGATAGGACTGGTAGCTGGAGCAGTGTGTTAGGAGCAGGAGTCCTTGGAATTACGGGGTATACGGGAAAGGGACGGTGACTGCACTTACCGGGAGTGCCATGACGACCAGGTCGCTTGCTATGTGAATCGCCGCGTTTGCCCACCACACATTTCCGTTCTGGCAATAAACCATGGTCGTCCAGAACAGCGCCCAGTTCCAAAACGCTTCCAGTGGAATGCACGCCGTGAAGACCGACACAACAAACCATATCGCGGTGGCAATGACGAGGATCAGGGAGACCTGGATTGCCCTACGGATCCAGGCGAAGGTAAAGATGCGTTTGTACAGTAAAAGGATCGAGATTCTGCTGAACACGAGGCTGAGGTTGTAAAACAGCATCCCGTACCACGCAGCCTGGGTGTTTGTTCCTGTCAGGGCGCTGCCTGTCTGCCTGAGAAGCTGGTGTGTAAAACTCACCCGCTCATATGCTGACATTTGCCATATGTCGACCTCCCACGCGTGTTTGCCAGCGCCACGGGCCATCTCTAATGTGGCGTCAGTAAGGTGGGTTATGTTCCAGCAGTCTGGCGGCATCAAGTTCTGTTAAGCACATACGCTCAAGGGAGCTCGCGGTCAGGCCAGCTGCGCAAAGCTGAGAGAAGTGTTAGCTTGACAAACCCAGAACTAGGATTCAATCAAAAGGAGACACCGTACGCACCAGAGCTGGGATAATACACCAGTCAGAGGCCCCAAGGACACGGTTGAGCCAGCCTCTGGTGTAGAAACGGAGCAGGACAAAGATCAAGGCGATCACGAAAGTTATTACGGTGCAGGCCACGATGTCGGCTTGCAGCGACCTGCCGGCATCCGTGGGAATGGGGCCCCATAGCGATGTGCCGTTTGGTGGCACCGTGAAATTCCCAGGGAATGATGAATTCTGCCAGGTCGAGTCTGCCGTCATTTTGACCTACGCCCCCAGACGTTGAGGCGCGTGGCTGTTGGCTGACAATTGTCGCTGTGCTTGCCACGATCACGGCCGAAGAGTAAACACATCGGATTCCATCGCCAACAGGGCAAATCTTGGATCAAGGGTTAGCTAGGGATGGCGGGAACATATACCGCTTGTTCCCCGCAAACTGGCAGGTTTTGATGGGTCAATGCGAGATCATGGATGCTCATCTCCCGAATGTGGGTATATTACTCTAACTTAAGATCGGTATTGTGCCTAGGTTTCTGCCGTTGATCGCTTGTCTAACGTCGCAATAAGGGGCCGGGGATAGTCTGGGGTAAAGCCCATCGGAGCGTGCTGCGCCAGCGGCCCCGCATCGGGAATCTCGCCGTTGGCAGTTTGGCTCTCCACCGCGGTAGTGTAGGTACTGTGTCATGACAGCGTGCGCCTGAAGATTTAAGTCGAAGTGGAAGCAAGGGGAGCAAATTGATCAACTTGCCTACGTCGAACACTCAGAGGAAGTTGGAACCATACGTGGTAGTTCCGGGTGCCGGTTGAATTCAGTCACTGGATCTTGCCTGCTTTTGGTGTTCAAAATGCGGGGAAGCCTGCAGTGACAGACGAGTTTGTTGGCTGGTTTAAGTTAGGCTACACCTGCCCCTTTTTAATGTAGCGAGGGCATATAGCAGCTTCTCCTATCAACAAATCTCTCAGATATGAACCAGGACTTGATGCAATTATCTAGAGATTGACTTCGAAAGCTGTCCTTAAGTTGACCCTTTCCAAACTGGAAGACAACTAGTTCCATTGGACGTCTATTGGGTCGTGAATAGGTAGGTACCTAGGCAAGGAACTTTGACCGTAGCTAACCCTAGGTACGGAGGTACTGTATAGTACTATTCTTGGCGCCGAGTGCTACGGTAATCTGCTGGCGCCGGACTCCAGTGGGCGCTAACCCGCAAGAAGCCCCGGGCCCATACTTCCGAATCCGATCTGTGCTTGACTTGCTTGATCCAATCTGTCAAATTCCGCCGGGAAGACCAGCAGTGCAAGCAATCTTGGTTGAGTGTGACGCCGCACGTCGTTCTTTCACGGAAGTTTGGACTACCGGCATTGGCCATGCATTGATACGCGGCGGCGCAGAGTGCGGTTTTTAAACAGAGCGCGCGAGCTGTGCTTTGGAGCTTCAATGACAATTGACAAATCATCTTGAGGTTGGACGATTTGGCGACGGGTTCGGGTTAGGGATAGGGTTAAGGCATGCACGACAGTGAGACCCATGGCAAAACGGCAGTCTGTCCGCACGGTGAGGAGTAGTCCTGGTCAGGCCACGGCTGTCAATTGCTTCATCTATGATCCATCAGCAAAGATCTGAGCGAAGCGGTCAACAAAGTCCGGCCCGTGAAGCATGGTCCAGGTTCGCACAATCTGTCATCAGGCGGAGCTCATTGGCCAAAGGATTGTAGCCTGTGGCTATCCAACCATAGTACGGATATGGTGAGTAAGATACTAAGGTACGAGACTCGGTAACCAGGGCTAGCTAGCACAAAGGAAAGACAGATCAACTGGCTGCAGCTTAGGTGAGTATTACTAGTAGTGGTGAGGTGCTGTTTGAAACAAAATCTACATAAGGTACCTACGTACCTTGTCTTATTTACCTCAGGTACTTTCGTTTGTCTATGCTGAACACCCAGATACTAGACTGTCCTCGACTGAACTTAGCTCGTGCTTTAGTGTAATGTACCTGGATTTTTGTCATGTCTAAGAGTGGTCGTACAGTTTCGATACTCGGATTCGCCTTTGAGATAACGGCCCAAAGCAGACCCTTCGCCTATCAATTCCAAGTTCACCCTAGTGCACCACTGCCGGTCTTGACCATGTGGTGTTTCGGGCGGCATTTGAAGCTTGTCAAGTCTTGTCTTGCTTATTGGTCGCGAAACGATCGCTGGCCGGGTGTCTCCGTCAACTCCAGCTTGTCGGGATTGTGGCGCTTTGAGATTTTACAGCTCCAACACATGATGCCTTATTATTGGAGAAGTACTTTGTGGATACATGCTCTCAACAGTTTTGAAGTACTACCATGTACCCAAGCCGTAGGGCAGAATCCGCCGGTGCCAACGCCGTCCCTGCATTCGGACTAGCAAGACTACTAGTAATACCTTAGTCAGTGGCGAGACCATAATGTCTCAATGGCCTGAAGGTTGCGCCTACTGCAGAAGTTCCGAGGCGCTGAGACATCGCTGCCGCCGTCAATGCAGTAAATCGGCAACGGCACGCGTGGTGAGCTCCATCACGGCCGGGAACAGCGAGGGTTTGCGAGAGAGGTGGGATTCCGCGGGAGATCGACACCGGTAGGGCCGTAGGATACACTCCATGTACTGCAATGCCGGTGGCGACCAATTGCATCATATCCAGTGAAAGCAGTTAAGGCTGGTTTCATGTGGGCAGGACTTGCCAGCAATCTTAGTATACTGCAGTTGCAGATTGATTGAATGACACCATCAACTACTACTTTGATAGAGTTGACATAGAATTGACCTGAATGACCGCTTCAGACATACATCAAAGTCTCCGAACACTTCCAAGCGCAATAGAGTTAAACTGCTCGAATTACGACGCTAATGGTGCTTCTACAACGTCTACGAGGTGAAACACCGAGGCAATTCCTCATGATCAGGCCCCTAGGAATCAGGAGTGGTCAATTATCCCTCACAAAGGAGGTAAGTGAAGATACAATAGGAAAACCCAGATCTCGCTACGCCACCCAAGCGAACAATAACATCATGAAGTCATGAGAACCCCCAACGTTTCATAACATAACTGAAAGCAAGCACATGTCAAAGTCCGTCATGGCTGAAAAGACTCCCGGGAATAGGGCCGGGATGATGCAAGCCTCTCCGCTCTCGCCACCGCATCCTCCAGGCCGGCCTGTTGCCGTGCAATTGCTTCCCTCATTGACCCGATATTGACCTGCAGCCGCTGTGTCTCGCGCTCCAGCGCCCCCCGCTCATGGTCCAGCAGCATCAGCCGTCGCTGCGACATCTCAATGGCTTCGGCCTTGCTCCGTTGCCACGCCTCCTGCTTGATCTGCTCCGCCGCGACGCGCGGGTCGACCCCCGGCGGGAGCACACCGCCTAGTGTCTTTGAAGATGATTTCATGTTTGTGTTCATGTTGTCGCCGGAAGAGCCAGCTGATGATAGGGCCTCGAACTTGCGCTTTGGGTGATTCCGAGATTTTGTTTTGGGATCGGACTGCTTGGTGGCTCTTTTGGAGGGGGCTTTGGAGGGTTTGCTTCTCCCCTTTTCAGTAGCTTTGGGTGTACGGTCTGCCTGAACTGAGCTCGGTGCAGGTTCAAAGGAAGAGTTTCGTTGGCTGAAGCTTCCGCTGAATGATCCTGCGGCGGATGGACTTGCCGAATCAAAGGGGCCGCTACGGAAGTCATTTTGCGCCCCAGTAAACGTGTAGGGCGGAGTTTCTGACAATGGTGATTGTAGCGGTTGGCTGTTGGGGCTCCAGGGGCTGGTTGAAAGCACTTCCTCGGGTGACATTGGCCAAACCGGCGGCGGGTAAGGGCCGGAGACCGGAGAATTGGACGCTGATGGATCCCAAAGAGCTGTGGTTGGAACTACTCCGTATTCTGGCCATTCCGCACCATTTGGTGGTTGGTTGAACATTGTTGGGGTATCATACGACATCGTCGACGGGTTCCCCAGCCACATCCCGCTGGCGTCGGGGAGGCCATGATGCTCGGGTTGATCTGTCCAGGAGGCAAACGCCAAGTCAGCTGGTGGGTAGGTTTGGTACATCGGTGCCTGGCGAAGTTGTTAGATGCGTCTAAGCAATCGTTCTTTCCAATCCTATCTTTGAACACGGCATGGCTGTGGGACACACTGAGACCGAATAGTGGCAACTTACCACTACGCTTTCCAGAGTTGCTGGTTGATCCCCAGGAGAAGTATTTGTGGTTGCCCGAGATCGAACATTCATCTTATGAATGAGACGAATCGGCCGTGCAATTGGTATTAGCCCCTTAATCCGATAAGCTTGTTGATATCAGGGGGTAGCTCCGTGACGTGATATCGCAGGCTATATCCTGGCTTGGGGTGGTAATTCACCCAAGCCTATGACGCAGTCCCGCAGGAGAGATCGAAGATCAGTAAACCGTGAATGAACATGACAGCGGTGCAATGACGCTGGAGCACCCCATGGGTCTTTATCTGGAATGTTTAAACTACCAATACCTCTGGGACCTCATCCCGTCCACAATTCTGGTTGAGAGCCATCCCGTTCGGTTGGCATTGCGCAGGTACCATGACCGGCGACATTTGATGTAGCGCGGAGTTCCCTGCGCTGCTGTCCTGCAGGCAAAGCACTTTGCATAGGTACGGCGCTTTGTTGGCGTAAGTTGCACTTTCGCACACAACTTTTTTACTACATTTACCCTCGGGGACCCAAAGCCTTACCCCGCTATTTCGATTCCTACCTACTAAAGGAATTTTCCAGCCACCAAGCCACCTTTCCTCCTACAACCTTGATCCCGGCGCAGTACCCAGCCTACAAACTTCCTTCGCGAAGACCTCTGTTCTCTGAAGATTTGGCTCAATCCAGTCAATTGGACGAGGAGCGCTGGGCAGGGGCTGACCGGGCCGACTGGGAAGCGGTTTTTCCGCCCCGAAATCGCATGCGATTTCCATTTGGCTCTTTCGAAAAGACCTCGTTTTTAAGCGATTTGGACCCTACCTAGGAGCTAGAGCGAGAACTAGGCAATTACCCGGTTGGGAAGGCCACCCACCCACCACCCTCCACGCCCTGGCAATGCCACTACACCACGCCCACGCACGACCACAACCACGACGGCGCCCACGGGTATTTTCCTTTTCGGCAAATGAGAGGCTATCACTACTACGCATTCCTGGAGCCTTGTGCGAGGAGGTTTTGGGGGCGTTGTGACGGCGTGCCTATGCCTGGAACATGGAACTCCAGGGAGCAGGGAGTATGAGGTCATAGAGGGAGGTGCAACCCTAACCCTAAAGCAGGAACTTCCGTGACCTCCATCACTTAGGGCATAAGGACCCATTAACCTATACGCATCGCAAAGAGCCCTGTAATTCCTCTTCCTCCTACTTCCTCAACTATAGATTTTATTACCTAGAATTTATCTTCTTCTCTGCGCAACAACGCTACAAGTTGTAGGTGGTTGTGGCTGACATTATATAATTGCATTTACGGGGCTTAACGCGGGGCGCTGAGCCTGAACCCTAGGCGTGGGCCGATAAAAATTCTGAGCAAAAGTGCAACTGGGACACTTACGCCAACAAAGCGCCGTATTTGCAGGGTTTTTGCCACCAGCCCATCCCGCGATTGGGCCTTGGCACATGCGCGCTACGCCCTGGAAGTGGCGTTCCACAGCGGCGGTAAGCAGCCCCAAGCTCAGCCTGGCCCGCCTGGGTCGGAGATGCACATGGTGCATGCGGTGTAGGTAGGTATGTACACCAATATGGATTTTTGCAGAATATGGCAAAGTGAAAGCCGGTGTCGTTCTAGACCCGGCAGCCTCAGCTGTGCCACGGCGTTCCCAATCAGCCGGGTCCAATGTGCCGCTTGACGGCAGCCGGTAGTGGGCCAGGGGCTGACTACCGAACTGCAATGTCGACCGAATTACCCTGCAGGCTGCATCTGCGCTCCCCCTGATAATGGCGGCTTTTCCGTCGTAAACGAATCTATCAGGATATTGCTCCGTCGGCAAGGGGCGAAGGTTTCCGGTCTTGAATCCCCGATCGCAATCACCAGTGACCACACTCCCGTCAGGAGTCGAATCAGGACTGCGCCTGGGGTGTCAAACCTATTAGTCCGTCTGTAGCAAGGTTAGTTGAGTGCTTGAATAAGCGGTGCAGCCGTAATCGCTAACTCGACTGATATTGAAACATCAGCTAGGCGTTAGGACACAAAATCCTCTCCAAGACTCCACGTCGTTTATCGAAGGCATGTGCCGTCGATACATATATGAGCCATGACTCTGTGCATACAAGGGATAGTTCTAAAATTCTGTCTGGTGCTTTGCCTCGTGGGCATGAGGTGGGCGAGCATACCAGACAGGGATCCAACGATCTCGCCAAGGGTTGTTGCTTCTGGAGAGCAATCTGCTTCCAATCTGTATCATCATGGATCATCGGGCGGTTGCTGCTCTCCGGTGACCTTCATACTCATAGGGAGAGGTAAGGCACCAGACATAGGTACATACCGCGACTTGACTCTCATGAACTGAAGCTAGAAAGCCGGACAGCTGACTTCAGTTCCAGTCCACGGTCATAACTTGTCGTTTCAACTAGGTCTAACTATCGACCGCTAGTGGCAGGTCTTTCCCTAGAAAGGTACTTGTACCTATTCATCGTTAGCGTTCCTGTTTGAATGTAACGGTTGGTCGATATTTTACGCTCTCTCACCCAAGGGACGGCACAATTTAATTAATTGATTTGAATGGCCGTATTTGAAGTTGAATTGACTAGCCCACTGGATATTTGAATCGAAAGTTGAATTGTTCAATTAATTGAACCACCACATATATTCCTAACCCTAGTCAGACCACACCCACACACATCCCTTCCAGACCTACCTTGCCTACCTTCCGACCGCTCAGAATAGCTGGCAAAGGCTAAATCGCTCAAAAACGCAATAAAATTCGAATGCGTTCCGTTTTCGGAAGGCTAACTAAGCAGCAAATTATAACTATAATAGTATAGGGCGCAAGACTGCCCCCCTGATTCCCCTGAACTGCGGCATACATCACGGTAAAGACGCGCCGCTGAACGGCTCTGTTGGCGATATACGTGTAAGGAAGCGCCTGACTAGCTAAGGCTCCGTTTATATCGCCAAGATGGCGATGGGAACGGCAACGGGAAGGTTCGTTCGTAGGAAGGATTCGAAGGAAGAAATTGAAGTCTGGGAAAACCTAGAAAAGTCAGGATTTCAATTAAGAATTGAATAATTGAACGAACCTAATTAAATTGAAAGATATTTGAAGACTCTTATTTGAATTGGAAGTTGGAGGGTTCTGATTGAATTGAATTGGTTTTGAATTGAATTGCGCCGTCCCTTGCTCTCACCGCTAGTTTGGGCACATCATGCATGTTGTCGAGTCGTCGACAAACTTCGATCAAGTTCGATGTCGAGAAGAAGCCCAAGAGCAGCCTTCCATTGCTGTTCATGTTTTGGTCGAGTTTCGCTATATATAAGATAGCCAAGTCATGTCAGAACTGTTGTCGCCTGAGATCATGGAATAGTTGTCTAGGTAGCCAGCAAAGCGCAGAGGGGGGAAACAATGGATGTTGACATGAAAAGGAACAAGATTGTTTGCTCACCGCAAACACTACCTACCTAAGCAAGCCACCCCGGCCAAGAAATATACACTGTGTGCATGGTCGGCGATCCACTGCAAACAACCACCAAGAACTTGAAGTCGATATTCACGACACATTATTGTTTCTCCATCCTTCATCTTCGTGCCTCAACCTGGAAGGAAGGATTAGGTTTGTCGGCCCAACTTTTCTTCCTCCACACAGAGAACAACAGCAAGACAGCATACACAATGGCATCGCAACCCGCCAAGTGCAGCAACCCTGAATGCCCAACTCCAGTCTCGGAGTCGGAGTCCCCCTCGCTCCAGCGCTGCAGCCGCTGCCGGACAATATCCTACTGCTCGCGGGACTGCCAAGTAGCACACTGGTCCGTCCACAAGCCGGCTTGCACCCGCCCCAACTACATCATCCAATTCCACCTGCACCCGGAGCACATCGACAACCCGTCCGTAATCCGGACCCTCTCCTGTCCGGCCAACGCCACCTTCTACCAGCTGCACCAGGCGCTGCAGGCCGCGTTTGGCTGGGCGTCGTCGACCCGGAATATGACGTGAACGAGGACGGCCCGGCCAACATAGAGCAGTTCATACAGGAGCGCATGATGGTGCAGACGAATGGCGGCAAGACCGAGTCAATGATGTGGGAGTACATACTGCGAGTGGTTGACTCGCCGGCATGGCCGGCAGGTGGATTTGGGCCCGTCGACAGAGTGCACGGGGCCATTCGCAAGCATCCGCGGACTGAGGAGAAAAAGGCCGAGACTTACAGGTTGTGGCAGATGTTTGACAATCCCGAGTATCAGAGTAGGTTGACCTCATGCTGCATCAGCCAAGTTGTCTGATTAGCGAAATACCTTGGTTGGCTAACAGGGAAACAGATCTCAAAAAGGTGTACACGTACGACTTTGGCGACAACTGGGAGCATTTCATGACGGTTACAGGCCGTGCCGACCCGACGAATACGTTCGAGTGTCTGTCGGGCTCGGGTCATGGTGAAGGCTCTCAAGGAAGCTTACCGGGTCGCACGACCGTCCAAGGACCAGCGCGAAAAAATGTTCTGGTTCGAGCGTCAAGCTTCCAACCGTGACAAAGGTGGACTGGCTGGAGACCGGGTCAATGCTTGGGATCAGGAGAAGGTCAATAGAGCCTTAGCCAAGTTGACAGTAAGGTAAACCTCAGCTTAGGTAGTCCTGCCGGACACATTCAACTTAGAGGAAGCCCAAGATTGCCCCATTTTGATCTCGTATGCGATTGATCGAGAGAAAACCTCTAGATCCATGTGAATACACGGGTCTAAGCGATAAATCTTGTTGATACTGTAAGGTAGTCAGTGCTAGTCAATATCAATGCAGGTGGGAGTACGGTACCTAATGTTCGAGGACGCCTCCTCCTGGACGCCTCACCTATGGTCATATGCCAACACCTTGATCTGAACCCCAGACCTAAACTACTAGCAAGGCTTAAGAGGACTCACAGACGCCTGGTGTCCCGTATACGGACAGCCATTCCCGCTGGCCGTTAAAGGGGTTAGCGAAGTTACCCTATGCACACCCCCTTTGTTTTTATAGGATCTGCGCGTACACACTGGGACCTGGTTAACCGCTTCTTCCAGATGCATTCCCAAGCCGTACACACATACAATGCCGCGCGCGTGCGACAACACGCCTTAGTAACCCGGTAGGTACTACTAGTAGTAGCCCAGTTGAGCACCGCCCTACGGAGCGTGCAACATCTTGCGCCTCCTATATGCGTTCATCGGCTGCCTCTTGATGAGTAACAGTTGTAAAGAGCCAACCTTGAGGAGACTGGGAACGTCTCATTGAACTCTTGGAGTCTTGGTCTGCGAATCCGAGGACTACCCCGGCAGCCGGCACCCGTACCCGACAGCGCTGAACGAACAAGCGGTAGGTAGGTACCTAGGTGCCCAGGCACCCACTGCACTTTACGTGCACAGTACAAGCCAGCCAGACTCGCCAGGTGCCACTCAACGGAGCTTGATCGTTAGCCACATGCAGGGCATCCATGATCCCTTGTATGATGATGTATCGAAGACATGAGGATGTTGAACCATGTACCAGACCTTGCAGATAATTGACTTGAGTTAGACAATCCGCCTGTCTGTGCTGCTTCGAGGAGTTTGAGAGGCTTATCATCTTATGAATGGAGAAAATTCATTAGATGAACAGGAGGCCACCGAGCCACATCGTGCCTGACATTTTCCCAGGGGCGCTCCACGGTTCCACCTGCGACGGAGTATCATCATCCGCGTCCCCGCAACTGGCCACCTCATTTCCGGTCCGTCCACCCCGCGCGCTATGCGGTTTCCTCGCTCGATTCCACTGGCACTGAAAACAACGTGCTGCCCAGTGAGCACGACAGTGGAGATCCAGGTTCCATGTCTCGCGAGTCGCGGCCCGACTCGACGCATATCCAGGATTTCACTTAGTCCAATTCCGGAACCCGGCCAACTCGATGCCGTCTCCCCATCACCGATCTAGGAATCTCGGCCGATCACACTCCTGGCATTGGTGTACCAGCTCCGCCATTGGCGTGCCCATGGATTCAAAAAGAAACCTTGACCCACTGCTCAACACAAGCTTTCGCAAGCTTTCCCGGTATCCGGGTCGCTTCGACGCCAGACCCATGCACATCGGGCTAGACTGCTAGAGATGGGGTGCTGCATGAGCATTGGGAGCCGCTTGAGCCTTGATCATTTGCAGATCTCCCCGGGAATGGGAATGCGTCATGGCAACTATAAAAGATCTGTCCTGGCCACCTCCTCAAGCCAGCTTCGACTGCCAGGCCGTCCAGCTCGGTCATAGTGCACAGTTACACGGCCATTTTCCGGGTAGCAAGCCAAGATGAAGTTCTCGATTCTTGCAGGAGTATTCACCGCGGGCGCCTTGGCCCAGAGCGGCGCATGGCAGCAGTGCGGCGGTCAAAACTACCAGGGCTCGACCACATGCGTCTCGGGCTACCGGTGCGTCTATGTGAACGACTGGTACAGCCAATGTCAGCCGGGGGCCGCAACCACCATCACCACTTCGACGAGGTCTTCTTCTACCTCGTCTGCCCCTACCTCAACTTCCACCAGCAACCCCGGAGCCAAGAAGTTTAGGTGGTTCGGCGTCAACCAGTCAGGCGCCGAGTTTGGATCGGGCAAGTACCCCGGCACATGGGGCGTCGAATTCATCTTTCCGGACAATGCGGCTGTCCAGGTATGTAAGAAGACAGAAGCATCAGGTTGGTTCGAGGCAGATCTTTTGTAACTGACTGCGTGGCCCTAGACTCTGATCAACCAAGGCTACAACACCTTCCGCGTGTCCTTTTCCATGGAGCGGCTGGTGCCCAACACCCTGACCTCCTCGTTTGACGCGGGCTACCTCAGGAATCTGACAAACTCGGTCAACTTCATCACCAACGCCGGAGCGTGGGCCGTCCTGGACCCGCACAACTACGGCCGGTACTACGGCAACATCATCACCGACACGGCCGCCTTCCGGACCTTCCACACGAACCTGGCCAAGCAGTTCGCCTCCAACTCGCGCGTCATCTTTGACACCAACAACGAGTACAACACGATGAGCCAGGATCTAGTTCTGCAGCTCAACCAGGCCGCCATCGATGGGATCCGCGCGGCGGGCGCAACCTCGCAGTACATCTGGGTCGAGGGCAACTCGTGGTCGGGCGCGTGGACGTGGAACACGACCAACGACAATATGAAGGCGCTGACGGACCCCCAGAACAAGCTTGTCTATGAGATGCACCAGTACCTTGATAGTGATGGGTCCGGCACCACCCCGACGTGCGTTAATGACCAGATTGGTGTGCAGCGCGTCATCGGCGCCACCAACTGGCTCCGTGCTAACGGCAAGATTGGGGTCATTGGAGAGTTCGCGGGGGGTGCAAACTCTGTCTGTCAGACGGCTGTTACGGGCTTGTTGAACCATCTCCAGGAAAATAGTGATGTCTGGGCTGGCGCGCTCTGGTGGGCGGCTGGGCCGTGGTGGGGCAACTGTATGTTTGATTTTCCCCCTTTCCCTCTCCTTCCTATTTCTCTCTCGTTCCACTGTTATGTTGAGACGTATGGCTGACTGGCGTGATTGTGCAGACATCTTCAGCTTTGAGCCGCCCTCTGGCACTGGCTATACGAACTACAACTCGCTGCTGCGCAAGTACGTTCCGTGAGAGCCGTGATAATGGAGAGTCGAAGCCGTTGTCGATGCATGTGAGAAGAAGGTGAAGGGTTTGCGTAGGGGGTTCGTATTCAATTGTACATACGTTCTACGGATACTAGAAGCACGACCAGCTCCTAGCAGTACTAGTACATATCAAGTCACCCATTCTCTTCTATTCTGCCGGAATGGCCGAGGCACAGGCATGGCGATTCCGAATTCAAGTTTAATTTCATCCCTATACTGGTGAGGGCTTCCTATACTCCTTCGCGTTCAGGGACGCGGCGATGTCCTGTAGTATTCATTCCACTGCTTGATTTCAGTGATTGAAGACCTCCTTTGCCTCAAATTCCCAATGCTGCCTAACTCCATCCCGGTCCACCACTTAGTACCCGTCATACAGCATCCTGTGTATAGCCCTGGCCAAGTCGTCGGGAATGTCAATGAAAGGGCAGTGGAAGCTGTGCAAGGTGAGAGTGGGCGGAGCGAGACCCAGAACTCGGGCCACCATTTTCTGCTGGTCCCAGTGGCTTACGGCGTTGTCGAGTTCGGTATAGATGTAGGAGCACGGGATGCCGTGGGCCCAAGGCTCATAGGTGGGCGTAACGTCGAGTACAGAGATCGAGGAGCGAGTGAACAGTCTCTTGAGGCCATCTCTGAACATGTCGGGATTGGTTGCCTCTCGGTCAGGCTAGTAGTTTGATCAGTTAGCATGGAGACCAATCAATTGGTAACACCGGGAATCTTAGGAATCATACATCGATGTGCACCCACTGGTAAATGTCAAGATTTCCGACGATGCCAAACAGCGTATGGCGCTTGGGCAGGATGAAGGCGGCGAGGTAGATGATGCTCATGACGCCTCCCTGCTTACCAGCCCTGCGACGGGCGGCAAGATCATAGCCCTCGACGGCGTTGCTTCCAATGATGCCACCCGAGCAGTGGCAGAGGAGCACGACCATTCTGCCCTCTTCAACCACCGTCTCAAGCGCTGCGCGGACGGCGGCTACATCCCGCGGGAGTCCGGCCTGGCGCGATGCTACATCGGTTTTGCTCGGCAGCGACACAACGATTCCGTCAAAGCCGGCGTTTTGTTTCCGCGCGGCAGTTAGGAAGTCGTGCCACGAGTCGGTGGGCTGCCACCAGCCGGGGATAATGACGAGAAGGGGAATTTCGGCCATGGCCGCGGCGGTGAGGGTAGAACGAGTGCTGTGAGGTTTAGATCAAAGGAAGAATGGAAGTATTTTGGTCAGAATTGCCTTGGGAAGAGCTCTCAAAAAAAAAAGGAACGTTGTCAGTTTTGAATTTCCTGCGGAGGGGGGTGACTGCGGGTACAAGTTCAAGTTTCTCTCGAGTACCAGGTACATTGGTTCACTTGAACTGGGCTCAAAGCGCGTGGGTTGCAAGACATCTACGATTCATCCACACATTTCCCAAATTCTTGACTGGTATCTGGCATTGGATCATCACCATTCACGCTTTATGATCCATCTCCTACCATTGTTTGTTCCGCAAGCTGAATACAGTAAGAGATCCAAGTCCCTAAGGCACAGAATTAGCAGAGTTAAAATTGTTAGGAACTTTGCAAAGTACTAGCAGTTCACCAAGTCTCATTCACTTCTGATACTCTTTCTCTCGTCTATATCTAGCTAGGTTCACTGCTACTGAAGATATAAGCGAAGCGCACGTGACTCAGCCCCTGAGTAAAGTAAACAAAAGTATCCAGATAGGTTCTCCAGCCTCAACAGCAGGGCTGGAAATAACGGAATGTGAAGATTGTGTCCCTCATACATGTATTCAAATATCCTTGTTTACCTTAGGTGAACTTCCTGACAAGCTCAGTCTCCTGACAAACATCAACCTGAGTGGCTGATGACAGACACATTTGGTCCTTAATAAGTATCAAAGCCCCTGAAGCTCGCTTTTAGCTCTCTTTCTTTCGTTTTATACCCATCGAAACATGACGGCGAGAGTCACCAGGAGCAACAGAGCATAGCGGCGAGAGCCAAGAGAAAGACAGAGAACAACGGCCGGAGCCACCAGAAGCACCAGAGTATAATGGCGAGAGCAACCAAGAGCAACATAGTATAACGGCGAGAGCCACCAAGAGCAACAGAGTACAAAAACGAGAACCACCAGACACGGAACAACAGAGTATAACGGCGAGAGCCACCAAGAGCAACAACGTATGACGGCGAGAGCCACCAGGATCAAGTCAGAAGGGAAACCCCAGCAGCTGAGGCCCCATCAATGTCTGTATCATGTCTGAAGCAGCCACCCCCGGAGCCCTGATGCAGTGATCCCTAGAGTCTTGCCTCTCTAGCTCCTGACCTTGTGATGCGAAGTCTAATTCCTGGTTGATGTGATGGAGACTGGAGAGCAGGGCAACCCCCGGGTTTCCAAATTGTCCTCTGTACCTAGTTGGCAGCTTAGAAGTTGGGTGCCTCCGTGAGTCTCATAGCCTGGCAAACACATCAATGATCACCACCATACGCTAGAGTCAGTAGACAATATCTACGCCCCTGTTAGACAGTCTAAACGCGCACATCTAATTAGTTCTGAACTGTAGCTCCGCATTCGAGTGATCTTGAGTGTCAGGAAACAACCACCATGCCGTGATAACTGCAAAAAAAGGTCGTCAAGCTGGTGCCCTGCCCTGAGAGAGGTGGGCAAGTGCTCGTCACTCGACGGGGCTCGTCGAGTTCTCCGCTCTTTCTTGTTCACCACATGGTTCACAGCGGGTGTTTGGTTTCTTATCCCAATATTGGATCTCGGCGCTGCCTTAATCACCACCCACAACTTCCTGATTTTGAAAACCCCGACTCTTTTCCACCAAACTTGCTCGGGCACCTTTCTCTTTCTCCTCCGCAAGCCAGAAAGCTTTCTCTCGCTTCCACCAGCAAGAAGCCTCTTTCTCTCTCTTCCAGGAGCCAGAATCCTTCTTCCTTCTTCTTCACAAAGCCTTCAACAAGCCAGGAGCCTTTCTCGTTCGCTTCCACGAGTCAGGAACGTTTTTCTTCCTCTTCCACAAGCCGGAAGCCTTTCGTTTTCTCTTCCACGAGCTGGAAGCCTTTTTCTTTCTCCTCCAGGAGCCAAGAACGCTCTCATTCTCTTCTGGGAGCCGGAGCCTTTAGATTTCTCTTCCACAAACCAGGAAGCCTTTAGATTTCTCCTCCACACTCCAAGAAGCTTTCTCTCCCTCTTTCACGAGCTAGAAGCCTTTCTCTTTCTCCTCCAGGATCCAAGAAACCTTCTTCTGTCGCTTCCAGGAGCCAGAAACGTTTCTCCTTTTCCTCCACAAAGCAGAAGCGACACGAGCATCACGACTTTGGCTCAACAAAGAGCGAAAGAACCTCACAAAGAACGCCTTCAACCTCTCATTCTCTCCTCGACTAAGCTATACATCAAAGCAATGGCCTCCTTCGCCGAAATGGACTTCTTTCTCCGCGCTCTGGTCTCCCGGGCCGAGCAACTCGATCGGTCCCAGGATCTCCGGGCCGAAAACCTCCTGGTAAGCGTCGCCATGGCCATTTTCGCTACCATCTTCGTCTTCCTGCGCTTCTTCCCGCGCTATCTCAGCTTGGAGGCCATGAGGGAGTGCCCCCCTAGCGACAACTGGGTCATGGTTCTCGCCTGGCTCGCTCTGATGGGACACATGATCATGAACATCCTCCTCGTCGACAAGGGCATGGGCCTCCATGCCAACATGGTACCCTCGGATAGCCTCCAGGCTTTGAGCAACGTATGTGTTTTTCCTCCTAATAAAGACTAACCCCTCCCCCCGCCCGCAATAACAATAGGCACTGCGAGACAATTATAAGCTAGAAAAGCATCAACAACACACTTCAAATCGCTGCTGATCA